GCAACAAGAGTCTTTGAGAAACCCAAATCCTTACTACATTACCAGCTCAAGTAGGTTCCTTAACCTCTTGGGTATCTCGTTCGTCTACGCCACTTCAAGTATCCTTCAACTAAGTCATCCCTTGTTCCAGCTCCGCATACAAACCACCCCCAACCACCTTGTTACATCTTGTGTGTCAGTCTTGGTTAGCTACTTGCTCAACCTCGAAGGCATGCTCTATATCCTCAACATATTGCTCCTAAGGAAGGACATTCTGAAATGGTTGATGTAGCAACTCGTCCTGACCACCAACCTCACCACCATCTCTACAAGTTTGCTGAACAGTGAGTAAGGGGTGCACGCAGGGAGCCCTTCATGGTTCATGCTCATATAAGAACAGCTCATTGCTTCGCCGGCCATGTCTGGTCAACCTGAGGGGAACTGGTTGCACAACATTCCACCGTGGACGCGGCAAGATCCTAGGTTCATGGCTATGCTCGCAGAAGGATCTAACACACCTCAATCTTACCCTGTCAACCCCTTGCCATAAACACCGAGCACTGGTCACGAGCAGGTGCAACATACACCAGCAGTTCCACACCCTGCCCGCTCTCAACAATACCAACCAACCAATCAGTTTGTTTGGACCATCAACACAGCGCAGCCACAATCAGGTCTTCCACCTGTTACACCAGTCCACCAACGGAGGGCAGGTCCTCCAAAAACGCCCCTTTCGACTCGGAAGAGAGGCCAGAAGATAATCAACGAAGGCACTTTAACCTTGTTGAACAGCACGCCGCAGCCGTGCATGTGTACCAAGCTGCTGCTGGAATCACTGGAGACGCCCAACAGCAACAGAAAGCATCCCGGCGACCTCCCCCCCTGCCTCTACCGCCCGGCTACATCAACTGCGGAACTGTCCAGCAGATCATCGGATACAACGACAAGGACTGGTCGGATCTGCGGGATGTCTGTCATTGAATGAGCCTTTCGTGAGTCATGCTGACCATTTGGTGCCATCAGAACAACGCTCAATTTGGGTATAACAAGTGCATCTTGCATGTGACAGATCATAATGGAAATCAGATTCCTTGCGGTATGAAGAACCCGTCAACAAGGCTGTTCTGGCCAAGGAGGTAAGATGGGACATGATCTAAGCTGTTTGGCTCTACCAATCCTTGTTCAGTTGGTTGATTCAACTCCCAAGCTACAGAACCACGTCGCCAATTGCGGTGCAATGTTTATCCTTAGAGACATCTATTATGGTAAGAACCGCAGATGGAATCAGAAGCAGAATGGAGAGTTGCGCAAATCTGAGGATGCTCCTCCTACTAATATACCTCTGCCCATGGTCACCAGAATGATCCCTCTAGTGGTCGCACGACACGGGAACTTGCCTCGCGCTGCAGTGTCAGGGACGGGGGTCGTATCTCCTAAACAAGTCACAACACTCGTCGCTGCTGAAATCAAAGGCGTAATCTGACACGAGTCGGGCGGAGTCTATCCAGTGAAGGGGACCGAGACCGAGGGGACGTAACAGTGACGTAAGCGTAAGGCGGAAGGCGGAAGGCGTAGACGTAATCACTAGTAAGACCAGGCCCAAACCAAGACTGACGGAACAAGATGTAGACGAAGGTCAAGGGCGGCTTGGGTACGTAACCGAGACTGAGTGACGACTTGGTGAACGGGGATAACTCGAAGTGGCGAGGCGAACGAAGACTCAAGAGGTTAAGGAACCCACAAGAGAGGCGAGGTAGGAAGAGGTCTTGGTTTTCTCAAAGACTCTTCTTGCTAACTAAAGAACTAGGGAAGAGGGGAGGAACCCCCCTTTATATACTAATCCAGACTAGCCGTTTGTTGGGGACCGGCTTCGTTGGGGACCGGCTCCGTTGGGGTGCCGTGCCGTGACGCCACCAAGCCACCAAGCCAGAACTACATAAGACTAATATAAGCTAAGACATAAACTTAAGACGTAACTGTAAGACATAAACATAAGACCTAATAATAGGACACATACATGAACGTGCATAGACGTTGAATGATCACAGGAAGAGTGTGGGAAACCCAGAGGTCATGAAGCCATTCATGACATGCAGCAGCGCAACAACCAGCTGCAACACAGGAAGCTCGAGGTAAGGCACCCCGTGAAGCAGAATTCGCAACGCGTTCAGCTCTTGCAACCATCCCTACTGCCGTTTCAACAAGTGACAGCACCTGGCATACCGATGCACATGCGTCCTCAACCTGTGTATCCACCTGAGACGTACGCTCCTGACATGCGGGCACCTCTTACGGTTATACATACACTTGAGCGGATGGAAGATAAGATGAACATTGCTTTTCCTCCTCTTAACGAAGCGTCCCTTGATCAAACAGGCCTAAGGGCAGCATCTACCGAAAGACATTCCATTCCTCTTATTCCAAAGAAGGACCGGCCCCGAAGACACACTGGTTGAACTTTAGGCCTCCAACCATTGTGAATCATGTGGCGGTTGCTGCTGCTACTGCGTCCCGTGTTCAGTAAGGCTTCCCTCATGGCCTACTGTGTTGACTGACGTGTTCTTCAGGTTGAGGGGAGCATTTCCTTACAGAGGCGGTGAGTATTCTTCTTCTCCTTCCTTGAGTGCAGTTGCTTACCAGGTTACACGTTAGTTTATTGGAAACAGTCACCCCGGAACCGCAACCTCAAGACTCCCACAGCACGTATCGCCAGTCGTCAATCGTGCCTGAGCAATCAACAGGGGTGCCTACACGTGACAGTGAGTAGTTGTTCACGATTGTCAAGTCCACTGACAAAGAGGTTCAGCAGATTGTGCTCAGTCAGAGGCATCCGGGCTGTCTTCAGCCAGGAGCACGTCGACAATTGAGAACCTGTCATCCGTCAACTTCCCATCAACTCTCTCTCAACCTAATCCTGCCAAGATGATGAGAAGACGATGGATGCTGCTGTAAGGAGGCTGGTGAAATTTGCGGATACCGAGAAGAAGAAACGAGACACAGCTGAACAGAGGGAACAAGCTGAAGCTGAGGCTTTCTCCCAGATGTCACCTGAAGAACAGGCACTCATCACTGCCGCAAGGTCTAGGAACCTCAAGAAGAAGGCTGTCGAGTCGTTCCAGAAGCAGCAGAGCAAGAAACTTGCAGATCAATTGGCTCAGTTAAGTCCATCGACCGCGCGCTGAAGATCCAGCACTGTCCACGGCGTCTGCGGTGATTGAGGATGGTGGAGATGATGGATGGATGGACGATTGCGGGATTGTAGAACTAGGGATCAGACAATCGGATTATAATGGGTGCACCTGCGTTGATTGCACGTGCACGTTTTTTTTAGGGTCCTGATGGTGACACACCCGTAAATCTTTGTACCACACCCCTGCGCTTGCAACCCCCCTGTGCGCTCAACCAGATTGAAGAGATCAAAGAAGAACAACCACAAAAAAAGCATTAAATCAGCACACAACAATGCATCCTTCACCTGATGCCTCTTTCCCTACTAGGCAAGAGCTCATTGATTATGCTCAGGGTTAGGGTACCCTACCGACACCTGGTGAACTATGAGGGTTCCGATGCAGCCAAGATTTTATGGTGGTTATGGACAGTGATAGGTGCGTGGGAGTGTCAGGGATTTCTTTTGTACATATTACTCCTGTAAACAATAGTATCTTGTCTTATTTCTGCTCTGATCTCTTCAATTTGGGTGAGCGAAGCACGTCCGGGGGCAGGTTGCGGACGCGGTGGCGCGGTATGATTAGGACCCTATTTTTACGGGGGAACAATGCATACACATACATATGAATAAAATATATTCCTAAACGCGCGCGACATTTTCTTTTTAGAAGATGTGATTTAGTGCAAGGTTGCACGAGAACAGAACAACTCGAAAGCACAAGGGTCCTGTTCTTTCTTTGTGCTTAAATTGTGCTTTACCTCGACGCCAAAAGCACACGCACTAGGTTTATATTGCTGTCTTCCGCTGTCGAAACAAACCGCAGCGCGTCCTGCAGCTTCCCGAGTGTGTATGTCTCACGCTATGTTTCATGCAACGTCCGACCATTTATAGCATTCACCCCGTTACAATCTCACGCAACTGATGTATGCTTGCCGACAAACAGTCCATGTAAAAGTCCGCGAATGCTACCTCATAAAGCGGCTGCAAGGCTTAAGCTCGGACGATGAGGAGAAGCCTACAAACTTCATAACCACCGGATTCGCTACCTGGACGGCTCGCTCACCGTCTCAGGGTGCAGTTGAGTGCCGCCCCATCACTGATCTTTGGATCGGGCCATGTGCAATCCAGACTTGCCTACGTTTCGCAAAAGGAAGAGAAGTGAATATAAGGCTTCCATGGTACATTGCGTGCCGCACTGCGTGTTGCTAATTTAAAACAACCCCAGTCGCCGAAATAAGCTCAGGCCCATCCTTGCACACCGGCACCCCCGCCTTAGGGCAGTCGCCGCACTCGTTAATGAGAATGTGACGTCAAGACCGGCATTACTCTTGCTTGGAAAAGAAGGCCATTTGACGAGCTGCAGTAATTGGTTCGATTTGCAGGGTAACACTGGGCCCTCATGATCGCTGTCGATACGCTTCGACATCGACTGCAATGCGACCAGCCAGCACTTCCGATCGACTGCCGAGATATTCCACGGTACTGACTGTCTCATTGGTACCAAGGAAAGCATTTGTGGCGTACGTCAGTTCCAGGCTTCTCTCGGCGTTCGAACACTGCCAAATATCTTCCAGTGACTTCTTCAGCGCGTTCAAATACAATACCTTACCCGTGTAGCAGCAAAGGAGATCTACTCCCTTCACTTCTGTCTCGCGCGCGCACGTCACGTCTTTGAGGACGTCGGCGAGCTTTCTCGGCAAAAGCCTGAGGCTTCTCGGCCTTTCTGCAGTTCTAGTCTTCGAAGGTCCGGAATTCGAAGAGATCTTCATTCACGGACTAACCTTCGATAGGGCTTACCTGCTGTCATCGCATCATCTCTGTCCCCGAAGGGTAATAAAACGAAAATCAAGAACGGTTGGCGTGGACCTTCGGACAGCTGAAAAGAACCTGTCGCCCACCGTCTGAGGAGCTCTGGCATCTCAGACGTTGTTTGCAAAGGTCGATAACTTAAATCTATGCACCCCCATCAGCAACAAAGGTTTGATCCGATTACACCTCCAAGAAGAGACGATCCTCGCCGTCGCGCAGCGGAGGAAATACTGCACACCCCAATTGCTACTTCCTCTATGCGTACCACGCAGCAGCTCTTCGGTGATCCTTCTACGTCGCAACAATGGTCCAGTGCAGGTCACTGGCAGGGTAAAATGCTGCCGCCGCCTCAACAAGCTACCGTGGGTCCTTACCCTCCCTCGACTCCTCCGGTAGTAGCATCGCGTCACGACGTCATTTCCGGTGCCGGCGTGAGTGTGCAGTCTACGCCCTCCCGTGGACGCCGCCCATCCCTCACTTACTTCAAATCATCGCCCACCTCTCCGACTCGCAGTGAAGATGAGAGCGTTTCATCCAGTCCTAGTCACACCAGGACGGGTTCTCAGCCTCCTGGCCAGACAGGCTCTGGTGACCGACAAAAGCGAAGCAACACAACTACTGGAGGTACAGGTGGGAGTACTGCGACCTTTGTGAAGAGGCTTTACTCGATGCTCAACGATTCCAGTGCTTCGCAATGCTCTTGGTAAGAGATCTTCGCAGTACTAAATTGAGATTATGGACTGATCGCAACCTAGGAATGTGCGTACCGTCTATCTAGCCGGGCAGGATTACTTCTAACAAGTTACACAGCCGTCTGGAACCTCTTTCTATGTCACCACTGTGAGCGACTTCTCCCGCGACGTCCTCCCTCGCTATTTCAAACACCAAAACTTTACAAGTTTCGTGCGCCAACTGAATCTTTACGGTTTTCACAAGTGTACGCCTTTGCCATCTCAGATTTCCATAATTCTCTTGAATGCTTATCTGAATGGTAGCGAATCGTACCTACCGTGGGTCCAAGTCTGCTCAGCGCAACCCGCAGAACGAAGTGTGGGAATTTCAGCACTCTCGGTTCATGCGCGACCGCCCTGGTGAGTGGGCAGAGTACGATTTGAGTTTCTCTCTGACACTTCTTATAGATCTGATTGAGACAATGAAAAGAAACGACCACACCAGAGAGGATCCTTTCATGAATGGTCCACAGATGGAATTTTCGGGTCGCTTGCTGGCCATGCAAGAGTCTCAGACAGAGCTCATGCGTGAAGTGAGGTCACTACGTGGTAATGTGGCGGATTTGAGCAGAACTGTCGCCGAGGTTGGAGTGAGACAGCAAGAGTTGGAATCTATTGCTTTGAGACTCGTGCACAGTCGCACGGAGCTCGAGGGCAGGCTGGACCAGGCCCAGCGTGAGAATGTACTCGCCCAGCAATGGCAGCAGAACCTTCGCCTTTCGGAAACGAGTGGACAGGCTAGTACCAGTGCGCAACACGTCGGTTACGACAACTCCGGGTTACGTCGACCGTTTGGCATGCAGAGTGATGAACCACGCTGGGATGTTGGGCAGCACTCGCCTTTATCATTCTACTCTGGCGGGCCCGTGTCGTCAACTCCGCTGTCGGTAAGCTTCGACCGACCGGCGCCACAACTCTTACCTGCCCCTACTTTCAGCCGTGAAGCGCCTCAAAGGACTGGATCATTCCCTTTCCCTTCCTCTGTTCCCAGTGGACTCTCGTCAGAGCATTCTACTCTCAATGCTCCAGCTGGAACGTCGGGAGGTGCCTGGGCTCCTGGCAATGCTATGGCTTCACATTCCTCATACGTCGCTCAGTCGACTGGTCAGCCAAGTATTCTGGCCCACCAACGCACGAGCTCACTACCTAGTGGTACAAGTTACTCTCAAGGCTATGCGTCCGAGCTGCGTAAACCGCAGATGTTCCCTCTACAGGCTGATCCTTCCACTCAAACGCCAGGCAGTCGTGCTGCTGGTCAGCACCAGGGGCAGCAGGTGGCAGAAGGAAGTTCAGACGATGATGATAACGAGGAAGAGGAAGAGGAGGAAGATGACGAAAACGAAGGCGAAAAGTGACGACTGCTGGACAGGACGTCTTATTCGCGGGTCGAGTAGGCTTTGCCAACTCGAGGGAACTTGCTGGTCAAGTTTCTCTTCGTCTTTATACCAATGGAATCAGATAAATCGCATATCTCTCGGGTTTACCGTTGTGATGGAATTAAGAAGGGCCTCTGCACTTGCGCACTTGAGCACAGCCTGAATTTGTGTGCATCCCGACGCGTCTTGTGAGACAAACACGTACATACACCGCGCCTATCAGCTGTTTGCCATCCTAAACCCTTCTGCAGTCAACACTCCAACAGGGGATATCCAACAGTCTGTACAGCCTGTGAACAGCCAACAAGTCCCTGTGGTAACCCGACACCAGGTCTTCCTAGGGTCGTGAGAATCATGGATTACAAAATTCCGTTCAATTCACGATCGAAATCGTGGATTGAACGGAATCGCCAGCAGCTTGAATATCCAAAGCATACAGGTGTTATTTGCGCAATTTCTGAGGTAACGTGCTGCGAATTTTTCTCTGGCAGTGATCCATGATTTTATCTGGAGGTATAAGCCACGATTTTGTCTGGGATTTCTGCCAGGATGGTAATACACAATGATCTGTGTAATCCATCTGTAAATCCAGAGTAAGCGACAATTTTTGACATGGATTACGCACTTGCCTAGGAGAAATCCTGTTTAATCCATAATCTTTCAGTTTGTAGGGCTAGATACTCTTACAACAGACGTCGATTGCCGCGCTTGGACCGGGTACCCAACCCAACGGTGGCCGGGGCAGCCTCACTTCGGTACCGGTCTCTCAAGAGTCCGTACGTGTCTGCCCATTTTTTCATACTCAGCTACACTAGTCCTAGACCATACCTGTATGTAGGATTGCACACACACTACGATTATGATTTTTGTTCTTCAATTTATTCCTGGCACAGAGGACGTACAAAGAAGAATACGAGAAGATTTCGAGGAGGATGACACATTGGCGCGAATGGCGAGTAGTGTGCGTCACATAGATTCACATACGCGTTTCTTCCGCTTCTTGTCTGACAATTGCTGTTCCAAATAACCCTACAGAAGTAAACCATCGTGGATTAAGCCCGAGTTGTTTTAGGCAAGTGCGTAATCCATGTCAAAATCGTAAATTGGTTTGGAATTAGTCATGGGTTATGCCTTTCCTCGTGGATTAGAATCCCGCCGTAATCATAAACACATTTGTGGACTAAGCCCAATAGCAATGTCATGGATTATAATCCCAGATAAAATCATGGATCACTGCCAGAGAGAAAGTCGCAGCAGATTACCTCAGAAACTGCGAAAATAACACCTGTATGCCTAAAAACCCGAAAGCTTGCGATGAGCCATTGCTTTCATGTATTTAAAGCCAGAAAGGCCTCCTGATATATGATACATGATCAACACAAAAGATGTCATGTATGTGTCATGTACATGTTATAATTGCATCGTCGAGTTCATTGATAGTTATGATGTAGTGCATGACTGTGTTGTGGCTGGGCAGCAAAGTGCACGTGTGTATGTATATGACCTCCTCACCTCTTTGAAATGTTTTAAAATTTCCCAGTGCCTACATATATTCATGAGCAGCAACGATTAAGCAAGAGAAGGTATGGCTTATATTTCCTTGTACATGAATGAGCCTGTGCTAACATCCTAGGCCACAGGCTATGTTTACTGCTACTAGCTATGAGAACTCTTAAGATGTTTTTAGGACATTCCCTGACAAAATCTGGGATTAAGCCCAATCTTATTGTGAATTATCCAGAATCAGATCAGGGAGTATACCAAAGATAATTGTGGATTGATCATGGATCATGCGTAATCTCATCAAGAAATCTCAAGTCAACTCAAGTCAATGTTTGGATTCCGTCATCCAGGAAATTACCGTGATTTCCTTTCACCAAAAGATGCATCAAATTTGACCAAGCAATCCATGATCTCGCGAAGGTAGGATGAGTTTCCGTGGTTGTAATGAACGCCGAAATTATGGAGAAATTATCAAGAAAATTCCATATAGTTAACGGCAAGACCCGTGAAGATGTACATGTATTCACGATCAGCGAAACTGCATCCAGTTCCTGCAGCTGGGGAGATAAATTGAATCATTCTCTTGGTTGTGAAGAGAGAAACACTGATTGTAGCCAAGTACGCGGTGTTCTATTTGTACGGTTGCGGTGAACCAGGCTGCAATTATCTGTCCGTGATGAGCAACCAGGTCGCCAGAAACCTAAGAACAATTGCTGTAGAGACTTCGAGATGTCGAGCTGCTCATCAACCCTATGATTGTCGAAATTTTGGATTAAACCCAAACCTACTTAGCTGCGCGTAATTCGTGTCACATTGCCTGGTTTTATCTGGGATGAGACATGGATTACGCGCATCGTCATGTGGATTTCCATAGTTGCTAATGTAAATTTTCCACGCAGGGAGTCCCTGTTTCCAGGCAGCGGGTCTTCCTAGTTCACCGACGATGATTTCAATCACGGATAGCATCATGGATTAAGCGGACTAAAATAATGGCTGGGTTCCCGAAACCCAGAACACGATCATGGATTAATCCACGATCAAAAATCAGGGATCAAACGGAATTTTTTAATTCGTATCTCACGAACGTAGGGCAACATCCTGTATACAATCATGCATCCCAATCTTGAGATCTCCCTCCTCTCCACCCCAGAATGTGTGACGGTCTCCTGGGTGTACATGATAATGTTACCCTACAAGACCCCCAAATTCTACCAAACACGATTATAAAACCCGAATAAAATTATCTAGTATCACGAATAGAGTTATTTGAGTTAGTGAGATATTCTGGGCACAATCTGGATTGACAATTCGTCTTGAAAGTAGAATTTCTTATACGATTTACCAACACTACACTGTTATACTATTCTACCTCATGACTGCACACTGCACAGACGTGACGTTCATTGGTCCCATCTATCACAGGTCATCAATCTAGGCCCATTGAGATTATTATGAGATTCAAGCGATACCCACAGCAGTTGACGGTACAGCCATTTCCAAATGTAAATGCCTGTTCCACCAGCAAGCAGCAGTTCCGCCTGGGTTCTACTCACCCGAATAAGAGGAGACATCAAGCAAGAGTGTCGAGATTGAACAACCATCATGTTAACCTTTCAGCAACAGCGATCATGTGCCCAGTTTGGGTTGAGAAGATACAAGCCATAGCATCGGGAGAACAGACGGTCAGGGTTAGGGTTAAGGAAGAGAGCCAGGGATTGGTACATCGATAGGAGAGGACCAAGAAGGCGTAGGATTCGATGCTTTCGTCAGTCAGTCGTGAGACACCCAGGGAGATTGAGACGTTGATGGTGGTGGGTTCCTGGTTGGTGCTGAGGACTTGGTAAAATTTGCCAGCGCATCAGCGCATTAGCGCTTGTGCTTACATGTCACTCTCAAGAGGCGCAGGCCGAAAAACCGCCACCAAAGACCATTGATCCTCGAAGACCGTCCTCCCTCGAAGACCCTCGACCATTGATCCTCAATCTCTTTTTTATTGATGTGGGATATCTTATTCTCCTGGAACGAATATCATTCCAGGCCAAATAAGGTATTCGTGTACCATGAATTGGAATTCCACTCTACCTGAATACTTTCCCACTTTATTCGTGTTTTTCGTATAGTCGAACGACTTATTCGAGTGCTTTTGCTGAAAGTGGAATATGTTATTCCATATTTGTGCAATCACGAATCAGGTATTCGTGACAGTCGAATTCGGGGGGCTCGTAGGGTTAGCAGCACGGGTCTTGCCCCTCTTCCTCTGACTTGCATGGGATCCCACCATACCTCTGCCATTGCATATCTGGAAGCGCTTGTACGCGAAAGTCCATACAGGGACGTCGCGAAGTCTTGTTGACCTGTCTGTCTTCTGCAAGTATTCAAGGAGGTAGTGACGGGCTTCACCGCTAAGGCTGACTCGCTTTTCTGGGGCCATGAGCCATCCCCCTGGCGTTTCATGTTGGGATCGGTGTGCTAGATCATGGGATATCATGATGGAGTTGAAATCGGATGATGTTTGTCGAAGCAATTGGAAGAGCTTGAGCTGCTCCCCAAGGAACACGGCTTTAGCGAGACTTGTATTCATTTCCACCTTAGATTTCGCCTCTGGAACAACCACACCACAGAGGCGTTCCATTGCGAAGGCCCAGAAAACCCAAGCTGTACCAAGCCATTCAAAACAATCTGCGATGTGTAACAACACATGAATAGAGACGGTCAGACCCGGAGTCAATTCTAGTCATTTGTGTACACCGCACACAAGGTCTCCCAGTTAGACAAGTACTCCTCAGGCAGTCTCCCATCCAAAAACGGGACAGGAAATAAGCTCAACCAGTGAGACCATTCAGTAGCCAGAAAATCTGCCGAGTTCTTGGCAATGTTCCTTGGAGCGCGACCAAATAAGCCTGGGATACTTCTCCTGCATCCCTTCATATCCTCTCCGATCTGCTCGAGTATCTTTGGCGGAAGCACCTAGGGATCCTTCACCCTAGTCTTCTTTGTTTGACGAGGATGGTGAGGAGGCGGAGCACGTTGCTGTGTATGTGTGTACGTAGCCTGAGTAACACGAGTAGCCTGAGAAGCTTGAGTTGCAGGCGATGGGGGAACTACAATATATGTGTCCGGGGGATCAGCGTCCAGACCTTTGGGTTGTAGCGGGCCTGTCGGTCTCACACCCTCTTCAGCTGCCAGTCTGTCATGTGCAGGTGCATGCGGCCCAGGCGGAAGTTTGTCATCCCATAGATTAAAGAGCAGGTAACATGGGTTATCACAAATAAGGTGCATGACGTCAATGCCAAAACTCATGGGCCAATGGAGAGTGGGGAGGCTGTGCAGAACTCCAAACCCAGAAAGACCTGTCAATGTGGGCAACCTGTCATGGTTCACCTGAGCAATGTTGAGCATGTCGGCTTTCATTCCCTTGCGCATGGGAACACCACCCATGTCCCATTCACGGTTTTCCCACCGTTCAGGAGCTCTAGGCCTATTCGAACAAGGGCTGTAAGGGTAGTTAGCTGTGGTTCGCACTGCTCACACGGGCGCCTGTGAACTCACAAAGCCAGCACAGAGACTTTCCTTTTGGCCCTAAGAAGAGGATTCTGACTTGGACCTTCCGAACATCACCCCCCACCAATCTTCGACTCCACAACAGTCTTCAACTGGAGTTACTGAGGCTGCGACAGGCATGGGCTGCCTTCAACTCACGACCTCACAGCAGAAGGAAGGCCATGCCAACAGGCGTGATTGTGATTCTGTGAGAAGCAGTTCTTGAACAAGTTGCTCTTGTGAAGAAGAGGCTTGCATGCAGAATACAACAAGATCAGATCAGCAAGGAATCCTTTCATATGGCCGAAGAGGCTGAGCAGAAGGCTGCCAAAGCCGCACACAAACACTTCAAACTTGTGTCTTCTAGTTCTCCCTCTTCTCTTTCTGAGCCAATCGTTATCCCTTCCTCTAACAAACTTGCCTCCGACACAATGATTCTTCCTTCTTCCTTCCGTGTCTCTGGGCAGGGTACATAGAAGCCTTTGAAGAAGGACAAGGATCAGTCTAGGTCGGGCGGTAAGGTATTGAAACAGAAGAAGGAGAAGCCTGCAAAGCCCGTTGAGAAATCCAAGGGGAGTAAGGAGACGGCAAGGGGCCAAGTTGAGAGCGAGACCGACCATGCCAGTCTGTTGCAGTTCACTCCAATGCGTCTGGTGGTATCGTGAATTATGCATCGAGGGCAACATTGATTCAACAACATCACTACACATATACAATGGGAGGAGAGATGAACCGATTCAAGAATATTGAACTTAGCATACACAATGGGTTCAGTTCGCACGATCACGCGCACCCCGCCAATCGTCATGTGGTCCACGTGGGGCGCATGGGATCTGCATATGGCTTTTCGCATCCGCTCGATATCCGCGTCGAGATTACGCCGAGTCCGAAGGAATACATTCTGGCAGCTGAGCATCTGAGAGCTTCAACAGACAAGGTAGCTTCTGCTTGATCGTTCGTCATGGCGTTCTCTGGTCAGGGTATGCGTTGTTTCCTAGACCGAGGTGATCTCGTCGCTGATCAGTTTGTTTAGGTGCTGTCGGCATCACCTACTTCATCCTCTACGCGATCAGCCTTGGGTTCACTTTGTACAACCTTTCGAAGCATGGTATTCACAAGGTCGGGTATGCAAACCGTCGCAGACCGTGGTCTTGGGTTTCGTTGTACTGCGTCACCCGTTTCATAGGCGTGCTCTTCTCCGTTGATGTGGGTACCCGTTTCGTAACAAACAGATCGTTCGTGCCGGCTAACTTTGACCCTTACAGGTCGCACGAGACCTCAACCACCAGACGAGTGCCTCGGTCTTCGACTTCTTCTATATCGTCTCCTTCTTGTTCTTAATTGTCGCCGTATATGAGTTTATTCAGCAATGGTGCGTCCTTTCCTACTACCACACGCCTCCATCTAATCGCTGAAGTTTTCTAGGTGCACCTTTGCATATAAGGCTCATCTCATCAACAACCCCATCATCGCTGCCGATCCGGCCAAAATTCCGATGACAAGGGCAAGACAGGTGCTCCCTTACGTTTTCTGGCCATGGTGTGCCGTCACGTTTATCGTACGTCTCTGCGATTTTGTCCGTTAAATCAAGGCTAACGTTATATGCAGCTCATGATTGCTGGCAACTCGTTCGGAAAGATGTCTCAGGGCTACAAGAATGAGGTCCTGTCTCCCCAGCTCCACACTGTTTCTTTCCTGTACCTCCCGATCATCATCATCCCCTACGTTATCCTCTACGTATCGGGGCGTACGTTCCAGGCCCCTAAGGGCTATCCGTACCTTTCTCTTCTGCCGATGCTACCCATGCTGCTGATGAAGGTTGCGTATGTCATTGTCTCGTCGTTCTCCTACATGGTCAACCCACTTTCGCCCACCAATAACCCTGCATACACGGGGCTGCTTGGGTTGCTGTTGGAGTTCTGTGTTCTGGTCTTGATTCAAATCCGCGGTCTGGCGATGGCCCCGTTGAAGGAGATCCTGCCGGAGACCGACGAGGAGAGGGGGATCAAGAAGCCGAAACCCAAGGCCAAGGTTCGCTCCTCGGAAACGACCAGGACGAAGAGTAACGAGATCAAGATGATCAAAATTGAGGCGCGCAGGTTGAACTCTGGGATGACTCAGGCTTCTGGGTCCAGCACCACGTCAACGGATGAGATCACCGTGGTTGATGAGAAAGGTCAGGAGACACTCGAAGGACCTACCAATGCCGACGGGACTCACATTTCACTCATGGACATCGCCACGCACAAAGTGGAGCGTCCCGAAAGCCACTCCAAGCCCAAGGCTCGCATCCCCATGATTGAGTTGGCATAAGGTTGCGGCTGTTTTTTTTCCCTCGTTTAAGGTTCGAGCACGGTGTTACAGGGGTTCTATTCGTTTTCAGGTCTTCGTCTGTTCAGCAGCATTTACGGTCTGCACTTTCTAATAATAAGAAATCTTTTATTTTTAATTCGAACTGCATGCCCTGGCTTAGCGCTGCATACTCTACGTACGGCCGGGGTGCTTTGGATTTCGAGATTCAAAGTCAATCACAGCAAACGGCAGCAAACATGGGTCAAACACAATCAATGGAGCATGCTCAGGCGCATAAGGAGGTTGTCATTGTCAACAGCCAGGTCCCTGTTCGAGTGAGTTGGATCCAACCGCGTGTCTTGAACCCGGATCACTGATCTTACTTGTTGCAGTTCTCTAACTCCTTAGGTACTACCCACGGAACTCGGTCCTTTGTGCAATGCGCTAACTCACTTCAGTAAACCACCTCGAAACATCAAAAGAGTCCAACACTACCCGATCCGCTTCCCTTGAGCAACATATCCAAGAGCGGGTTCAGTCCGAGCTCGAGAGGCTTCGGGAACGTGAGGCCGAGGTTCTCGAGCGAGTGACTGCCGAGCTGACCCAGAAGAACATCGAGACTGAGAAGAGCCAGGATGCTGGATTGAGCAGTGTCATCGTCGAGAGTGACATCGAGGCTCTGCGAAAGAAGTTCCAGAGCGGACCCAAGCTTAAGGAGGTTGATGCGAATGCCAAGGCTGCCAGGGAGGCTGTCGTTGCATGCTTCAAGGCACACGAAGGGAGAAGCTTGGACTGTTGGTGTACGTGTATTCAATTTCAATTAATTTGCAATGCTAATATGGCTTACAGCGGAGGTTGAGGCTTTCAAGAGCGAGGTGAAGCGATTGGAGACCGAGTTCGTGGCTTCCAACCAGTGATTACACAAAAACATATACCCAATGGACAAAATCTAGATCAACAATTGTTCATTCACCAATGCATATGCGGTATCCTAGATATCGTACCATCTGTTATCATCTACTCCTTTTTGGGCGGCAGCTCGCGAGCTTTGTACAAGAGAATGTAAGCGGAATCAGCTTCACCACCACCGGCAAGCTGCTCAATCCTGCTCTTCGGCACGGTAGTGACTTTGTCGTCGTTGAACTTGTACCACTCATCACCATTCTCCTGCTTCACCCACGACATCCAATGACCAGAGTTCGCGGATGCACCAGTATGGGTCATGACAGCGAACAAGTCATACAAACCCGTAGCGTTGGCACCTTCATCCTCCAAGAGTTTAGGGTCGATAGCCTTGTAAATCTCCTCAACGGGATCCGCACCTTCAGACTTGGGTTCGTCCACATCCATCGCTACGGCCTCGCCTTTATTCTCCGCCTGGTCCATCTCCTTCTGAATCTTTGCCCGCTTCGCTGCCCTCTCCTTGTCTTCCTGAGCCTTCGTGATCTCTCGCATAGCATCACGCACAGGAATCAAGGATTTCTGCAACTCTTCCGTACAGAATTCTGTTGCGTCCAGTTCGAAAGGGAAGGTGACCTTTCGCATGATCTTAGTCTTCTTGCTAATATCCCGACGCCAGTAGAATCTGACGAGATGAACAGTCAAGTACTTGGGCAATCTGCTGAGCCTTGACGTTTTGGTGTATTGTGCGTTACGTCCCAGAGCCTCCGACGTCTTCTCGATCTTCTCGGTCAACCCGTCGAAGATACCATCTCGCATAAAGTTGGTGGTGCCAGAGATGTGACAATCAAGCTTGACAACCTCGTCACTGCTTTCAACTGGCTGCTCCTCGGAATTCTCATCACATATCAACTTGCTTGATGTCTGTGCCGCCATGTACTTGTCCACGAAGCTCGAGTGTCCCTCCTTCTTCAGATCCTGGCGCAACGTCTGCAACACCTGCGACCAGCACTCTTCGGCATCTTGCTGCATGTAATGTCCCTCGTTGGTCTTCTGAGCGAATTGCGGGAAGACCTGCCGGAGAACGCTCAAGAAGAGCATGGGCGGAAGACCTTCGGTAGTCTGAGACATGTTCTTGTAAAGGTCGCGAAGAGAGGCGGTCAGACGAGAACGTGTAGAAGCGAGCATATCGTTATTGTTGGATTGAGGAACAAATTCGTTAAGCTCAGCTTGGAGCTCAGGGATTGCTCGGAATGCCTGTAGGGTGGAATTCATCTACGCGTCGGTGTCAGCAAGCATTCAACCCACAACCATGGACCAAAACATACATAGCAAGTGTTTCCGAGGTTCTGCAGACCAGCCGGGGTCTTCAAAACCTCCGCCAACTGGCTGTCAGTCATGTCCTCCAAGAATACCGCCTTCTGCACCGGGGCCTTCGGGAGCTCTCCTGCCGTTCCCATCATCATGAGAGTTTGCCCGGGCTTCAATCCTAGCTTCTTCATGTCCGTGTCATCCTTCAATTGACCACCTTTGACCAAGACCTTCTGCCGAGTCGGCTCCACACCAGTTAGGCTGTAAAGCTGGGACTTGAAGACTGCTCCAGGCTCCCCGAGGTCGACGTCCACGTCGTACTTCTTCCCTGCATGCGAAACCTTGATGGAAACTGTTGACATTGCGACTGAATGCTGTGATTAACTCGCTGAGAGGTCTGGTTGCCACTTAGGGTTCAGCTGGGGTGTACGGTATACGGCAGCGCGTGGATTACGTATGCGTTCCTGGGAGAGTCAGAGGACATGAAGTGCGGGAAGTGTGAGTGGAATCTTTTGTCCAGGTTTCTTCTTTCCAATACGATGGAAGCTTCTCAGTACCTAATTCAGGAAATGGTTATAGACCAATTGTTAACGTCCAAGCCGGTTAGACTTTCTCTCCATCGCCAAAATGGATCTCAAGACAGATGGCTACCTCGAGGACCATTCTGAATCTCGCACTCTTGTTTCGAGATCTGGTATCTTTCGGAGTCTTTGCAGCAACCACTCCTAGACAAACTACGCTGCATCACAGAACGCCGCAGCCGTGACGGCGGCGAACCGGCTGTACTCCTCCAGAAGACCTTGACGAAACTTCCGAAGACTGCCATATATGTTGCCCCACCCGTCATAGGTCTCATGATTTTTCAGCAGCCTGCTCTGCTCTTCGTTCTGCAGCCTTCATCTCCGCGACGATTCTTTCCTGAACTAAGCGTTGCTCAACTTTCTGCAAATCCTCCTCGACCCTAGATCTTTCTAGGGTGAGTTGACGACGATAATCCAAAAGACGTGCTGCCTTTTGCGCTGCGTCCTGCTGGGTGTACTCCTGCTTGAACTAGAACGGCGTCAGGTCAGCAGAACAGAAAAAGCAAGTTTTGGGAGACGTCATACCTGTTGTACCTCGTTACCCATCTTCAAATTTGCTCCATAGACGGATCCACAGACTACGATAACAACTGAGACGGATGCGAAAAGGAGCCTTCCGCGCGGGATTGGTCTTGACATGACGTTACTGATTTCAAGTTGCTGCTGCAGTCGGGGAAATGTATGGTATACCGGTAACGTTGACACAACCTCAGTCGTGGAAGCGAAATACATGGAGTCAATTTTCTCTTCTTTCCAGTCACAAGAAACACCTTCTACTGAAGAAACTACACACTCTTCATGGATCATCACCAACCCTTACCCAGCCCCACTAAACCCGTTCCTCTCTCTCCGCCCACAAGAAGTTAAGACCGCCTGGTCGTCCACTGCACTCCACCCAAACAGGCAGTCCGATATACGTTTGCCCAAAGAAGAACAAAGTATCCCACGAAAACATGCCTCGACCAAACGACCAATCTCTCGGTGCTGCCGGTGCTGTCGATCCTGAACTCCAGAACTACAATGACCAGCCCGTCGGCGGTGCTCCCGTCACTGGTCAAAAGCGCGCTCGGTCCGCCGACGACGACGAGGACGACGATGAGAAGCCCGGACGCGAGCGGAGAAAGATTGAGATCAAGTTCATCGAGGACAAGGGACGACGACACATCACCTTTTCTAAGCGCAAGGCCGGCATCATGAAGAAGGTAACGCCGCACGAGTTATGTGCGCATACATCGTGGTGACTAACATCTATTACGCGTACAGGCTTACGAGTTGTCCGTGCTGACTGGTACTCAAGTCCTTCTTCTCGTTGTTTCCGAGACTGGTCTCGTTTACACGTTTACTACACCTAAACTCCAACCTATCGTCACTAAGCCCGAAGGCAAAAACCTCATTCAGGCGTGTCTGAACGCACCCGAAACCGCCATCCCTCTCGCGAATGCTCCTCCCACCCCCAACGACGAGCCTCCTACCCCTCCGACTGCGCGCAACACTTCATTCAGTGTGCCCAGCCCTGCGGTCCCTCAACACGACCCTCAAAGCCTCGCCGCTGCCCATATGGCCGGTGGCTTGATGCCTCAGGCAGGTTACGCCGCCGCTGGTATCTCACCGGAGCAAGCTGCCGCTTATCAGCAGTACCTGCAAAACCAGGCTGCCAACGCAGCGGGATCTTTGGCGCGCATGGGTCACCCCGTTCAGCACCCTGGTGCTCCTCCGCACCTTGACTACAAGGACATGAAGCAATAATGGCTTTATCGATAATATAGGAGGGTAAGGGGTGGTTAATGGTCACGGGAAATTGGATTAAGGTTGCGAGCGTTCTTCTGCTTTCATGTTTCTACAAATTTTGGGTTTTTGCTATGGTTTACTGCTGCGGTGGGTTTGCATGTTACGTTATCTCTACAAAGAACCATATTGACTTGTCGCTATTGGAATGCAAGTATCTGTAAAGCTCAGTGGACCGCCGCGGTTGCAGTTAATGAAGGCTTCTCTTCTGCTTAATCATGTGAAGATTTGTACGGACGCGTACGTTGCTCTACCGGGCCGGACGACGCCTACAGCTGGTGACAGTCGTGTCCTGAAGAGAGCTACGCTGAACGAGTCTGCAAAGTGTATCAAAAAGTCTATTGAAGATTGCGAAGAAAGAAAGAAAGGTCCAAAAACCTCGTGACAAATTCCAAAAACGTCTATATCGTACAACCCGTCCCTAAGGTATCTCTTTTCCCTCCGGGTCCCACGGCTTATTGAAGTGACAACGCTTACTCGTCGTCAGAGTAGTAACCGCGGGTAGAGTTGTGCTTGCCTCCCCACTTGTACTTGTGGTCCTTGTTCTTCCAGCTCTCGCGAGAGCCACGGTATTCATCCTCACGGTCACCATCACCCCAGCGGTTGCCGGAGTGAGCATTTCGGCGCTCACGCTGCTTCTTGTCGGAGGGCCCACGGCTCTTAGACCTCTCACGAGACTCCTCCTTGTCACCCTTGCGTCCGCGAGACTTGGAACGGCCACGCTTCTCGTCGTCGTCGTAGGAGGCAGTTCCGTTCTTGTAACTGTCCCACTTGCCGTCATGGCGCTTGTGCCACTTAGAAGCCTCACGGCCGCGGCTCTTGGACCTGTCGCGAGACTCCTCCTTGTCGCCCTTGCGTCCACGGGACTGAGAGCGACCACGATCCTCGTCGTCGTAGGAGGCAGTTCCGTTCTTGTAACTGTCCCACTTGCCGTCATGGCGCTTGTGCCACTTAGAAGCCTCACGGCCGCGGCTCTTGGACCTGTCGCGAGACTCCTCCTTGTCGCCCTTGCGTCCACGGGACTGAGAGCGACCACGATCCTCGTTGTCCCAGGAAGCGGTACCGTTCTTGTAACCCTTCCACTTGCCATCCCACTTTCCTTCGTGGCGCTTCTGCCACCTGGAGGCCTCACGTCCACGTCCGTGACCCCACTTGTTCTCGTCGTCGTGCTTCCAAGAAGCAGTAGCATTCTTGCCGTGGCCGTAGCCGTAGTGATCGCCGCTGTAAACGGACTTGTCGTCGCCCTTGTTGTAAGACCTGTCGTGAGGGAAGGCAGAGGTCAAGGCCGCGGAGGCGGTGAGAGCAGCGAGGATAACGGAGATCTTCATTGTATCGTAGAGAAGACTTGATTAATGGTTACCCTTTGCCACATTTAGGGAGAGCCATCCTCTTTATACGCTTGACGACTTCCTCGGAAAAAGTGGCAACGACGTCTTGTTCTCGACCAATTGCTAACGCATAGGCATCGATAGTAATTCCCTCGTGGGAGACGGTGATCGCCTGATAGTGGCTAACTGGAGAGTGTTTTTTTTTCCAGGGCGCACGGGCCCCTAGTCAGCGTTTTGCGCACGGGCCTTACCGCGAGAGAATTAGAGTTGCAAATCACAGCCCCAAGCGGGTAGGTGCATGGCCGTTACGCTCCCCAGGAAGCAGCCAACGTGGACTCTATGTAGTCCAAAATTGTCAATTCTCAACGGCTTTTCCGACGATCTGTAAACCGAGTGCACAGCGATGCCGTCAAGATGCATCGAAGATCATCGTCCTATGATACCGGCGTCACCGCGGCTTCGTTACCCACACCTGGATACAAGCTTGTTTCGCAACCGTACTGCAAATCGACGCCATCAAACGACATTTCCTCAGATGGACCCTGGATGCAGCAGCAGGGCGTACAATGCGATACTTGCATTGAGCTGCTTCTGGCTGCTTAGCATGACACTGAGCCCCAATTCGCCTCTTGGCATTTCTCGACGCCGACTCAAAGGTCGCATGCTCGCTTCTCTGCAACTGGATTCGGACGACACAATTGTCTTTCGGTGAATTTTTCTCAAGGGTACTCAACGTGGTTATGGTGTACTCTTGACTTTTCCTGAAGCAGTCGAGATCGACTCTGTAGGACCCCTTGCCGCTCCGCGGACAAAAATCGTGCCGTTCGTCACTGCCTTCAATCTTAGATAACGATGCTTCATGTCGCCTGCGGTTCGATAACGAGCGTCAAGATTATCGATGACCATCATGATGTCAAATTGGTATAAAATTGCGAATGTGGATTACTAATGTCCACTCCTGTGACTATTTCGATGATGTCAACGTAGCAACCTAGGACCTTGCTGTCCAAACCGTCGCCTGACACCGCTGACGTAAACTCGTTGTTCTCTCTCTGATGTGCCTCCCGGTGCATCGAACCGTCTGCAGCTCTTGCTATGGGTGCACAAAGGTCACTTCGTTATGCGTCCTTCCCTTCACCATTCTCTCGGTTCCATCGATCTCAACCTTTGCTTCACCCTCGCCTGCCCAAACGCAAACATACGGTCTTCCCGCCCACCTCTGCAAAATCCTCTTCGCCCATCCTGGGAAGAAGTCAAGCACGTCAGTTTGCGAAGTCGGCATCTCTGACAAAGCAGTGGTGATTGTGGCTTTGACATTGGCACCGGACCAGGTGTAGGTGATTGACCGTGGAATAGGGAAGATGCCTTCCGTAACAGCAGGGTGTATCGAAGCGTCGCCATGCAAAACACTGTTGTTCGAACCCGACGTGATCGCACGAGTAACCCCATCCAGCGTGACAGAGCCATGGACGAACCTCCTCTCATCGCCCGACTTTGCCGAGCCGCGAGGGATGAATTGAAGCATGTGCAAAACCGAGTTGGTGTCTCGGTCACGAAGGAAGAATGCATTCCATCGGTCTCCCATATCCGTGAACTTTGTCTTTGAGAAGATTGCTTCGACGAAGCTTCCTTGACCAGCGCATTCTACCGGCTGCTCTCCCCGAACCTGGTATGTGCCCTTCACGTCACAGAGAGGGATAACGGCATGGGAGATGACATCCTGAGATGTTCCTGCTGGAAGAGTATGGTTGAAGTCGGTAACCTTGTAGCCTTTAGTTCTGAATGTGAACACTAGATCGTACTTCACAACGCCCTCAATGACCAAACGGTAAGCCCATGCTCCACCTTCCGACTCAGGGCGCAGCAACGTCAACGCATGCATCCCCGTGCCATGCTTTAGAGTACACGACTGACAGTCCGCTGAGAGGGAGAATCCACCCGCGAGACTTGTCACACTCTCCACAACTGGCTCAATGCCTTCTTTGTAAAAGGTATATGCCATCGGCGCAACTTTAATGCCGAGTCCCAGGTTACCCCATGCCAGCTGAGCGAAGCCGCTGCTACCGTCATCGAGAGTGAAGTAAACTGACTTGTATTGAGTCGTGAGCTTCGGAAGCTTGATGTCCCATGCCAGGGATTCTGGGAGCGTGAGGGTAGACATCGTTGCGCCGGGGTTTGTTTGTTTGTGCACGTGAGTTTGTAACGAGGATTGATCAGACAGGTACGATCGTGCCGCATTGAGCCACTCTGACTGACGAACATACATCGAGGATTGTTTGTTACATCTGAACGGCAGTATACCAAGCGAAAATATCTAAGTAACACCGAGGACGAGGTAATGGGACTTTGAAGACGAAGAAAGGAACATCGACAGGATTCAGATGGTGTGGAGCGTGATAATGAAGTGATTAAAACAACTAAAAAGGGAAAAATAAAAACGTAAGAGACAGACGAAGTGTGCAAAGTTCAGAAGTCAATCGCAGCTCATCTCGTACGCATCCTACTCAAACAAAGCCTTGAACTCCTCCACATCCATCTCCATGTCTTCATCGTCAACTTGCTCCTCATTGACGAACTCCACGCCAGCGTTTCCTCCGGGAACCTTACGGGGTGGGATGATGGGGAAGCCCAATGTCTGCACGACACCATTCTTACCCAACACGTCAGGGACGACAAGCTTGCTCTGTCCGTTAATCTTGAAGTCGACAACGGGACCAAACTTGAAGATGTCAATAGACAAGGAATGGTTGGAGAGAAGAGTAGGAAGATTAACATGGTAGTGCTTAGGAGGAGGAGGGAAGTGACCGTGGTGATCCTTAGGTCCATCCTCAGGCTTCGTCTCATCGTTAGAGGCGGCAGCAATAGCTTCCTCAATGAGCCTGTCCTGCTCAAGCAGAGCGTCCGTGTAAAGAGTGCTGTTGGGAGAAATGTGGTACTCAATGAGCTTCTTTAAGAAAGGCCTTCCACGGTCGGAGAACAAGAAGCGGTTCACCCTGAAGCCAAGTCTCTGGAAAGCCTTGTTGCTGGGAGCAAAGACGGTCAAACCATGAGACTCGGAAGAGTTGACCAGGTGCTCGTATCCAGTCTTGTAGAGCGCGCCGACGAAAGTAGAGTACTCTCCGGGAACAGTCTCGAGGGTGTCCAAAAGGCGGGGAGGAGGAACGAGGACAGCGTCGATGGAGTGAAGCACACCGTTCTTGGCGAAGACGTCGACGTACTTGATCTTAGCATAGAAGTTCAATTTCAACCCGCCGAACCCAAGAGAGACGCGAATGCGCTGGTGGTTCTCATCGCCGAGGTCTTCCTCCTCAAAAGCAGTAGGCAATGTCTTGGAGCCAAGGACACGTCCAGCAGGGTAAAACCCGGGAAGAAGGTGGTAGTAGAAAACGTCACGGACGAACTCCTTGGTGACATTGTGGTGCTTCTCGGCCTTCTCGAACGCTCTGTTGTTGGGAGCAAAGATAGTGACGTTAGCCTTGGTGGTGTTCAAGAGGTCGACAATATCATTGTCATCCTCGATGTAGGACCAGAACTTGCTGTGGTACGGTGAGTGCTTGACGACATGCAACAAGGTCTCGTTCTCGAACTTGCGGTGGGGGCTGTGGCCGTGATGAGGCTTCTTGTGAGGAGGATGAGGTTTCTCATGACCGGGCTTTTTGTGAGGCTTCTTGTGGCCAGGTCCCTTGCTGGGAGGATGCTCAGGGCGGTGCTCATCGTCAACCCTGTGTACATCAGCCTGTCCCTTGCCATGCCTTCCGGGGCTACCGTGCTCCTTGTCACGCTCCTTGCCATCGTGCTTTTCGCCCTTGTGCTTCGTGGCTCCGTGTTTCTTCTCTCCGTGGTTCCTTCCTTCGTCATGATCACGATCATGACCACCAGTCAACTCATAGATCCAGTGCTTAAACTCCTCTTCCAACTGATGCTCATAGTCGGCAACATCCTGCACATGATGGGCACCCTCTTGGACGGTCTCACGGACAACACCACTACCAAAAATATGCTGCGCGCGGTCTTCAGCTTGGTCGTAGATCTCCTTCAACACATGGAAGGCATCGTCGTGACGACCGTTACGGACGATAGCAGGCGTTTTAACGTGATGGTTGAGAAGAGCCGGGGCATCAAACCCAGACTCAGGGATCACAACAGCACTGGCCGTCGCAAGAAGCGCAAGCCCTGCAGTGATTAACTTCATGGTTGTGAGAAATATTGGATGGAGTTCAGCTGGGTGAGGATTGACGAGGTTTATCAATGATTATGGGCGCCAAGACTTTAAAGTTTTGCCATCGCCAAGTCGAAATGTACTTGCGTAGGCTACGGCCGTTCCTTGGCTCATGAGGTCACTAAACGGACGGATGGTCGGCATCTACATAGTACGGCTTTTATCAGATCCGTCTGATCATTTGACCGTCACCTGATCCAAAGAGTTATACATGCAATTGCTTTCCCATTCCAAGCCAGATTGTTCTCTATGGTCAACCGACCTGCGATCCCTTTGCAGTCGTGCCAAGACAGTGGGAAAAAGTGCTCAGACGGAAGAGCGCGGATGCTCACGCCGAAGAAAGTGTGGGAAATTTGACTAGGAGTCAGAATACGCAATATGGAACAAGAGCAATGATAATGATATTGTAATCAATTATGGGTATCTCATGTAGGGGTATCAATGCTAAACCATGCATCATCCAATTGCAAACTCCAGAGTCCAGCTCGTATTTCCCTCTAGCCCTTTCGTGCAGCTGCAATTGTCCCGAGAGATGACTCGCTAGCCCTACGCAGTAGCGCTGGCGGAGGAGGCAGACGACACTGATGACGCCGATGAGGCCTTGCTGCTGGACCCGGAAGCAGAGGCAGACACCGACGAGAGAGATGCAGCACTCGACGCGGACGCGGAGACAACGGAGCTCGAGGCTGAAGAGGGGACAGAGGAAGAGAAGGTAGAAGAGGCAACGCTGGAAGAAGCAGCCGCCGATGAAACGGACGAGCTCACAACCGTCGAAGAAACAATCGAAGAAGAGGAGGCAACGCTGCTGGAGGAAGCGGCAGCGGAGAACGCAGCGGAGGAGGCAACGCTGCTGGAGGAGGACGCAGCGGAGGAGGACGCAGCGAAAGAAGAAATGACAGCGGACGACGAAGCAGCCTTCGACGGGACAACAGAAGTAGAAGCAACACTGCTGCTGACCGCGCTCGAGCTAGTGGCCCTGCTAAGCGTGTACATGCTGAGACGATTACCAGCACCACAGTACTCCAAAGAGTTACCGTGACAGAGCATGTTACACTCAGACTGCGAAGTGTTGACAGATCCCGCAGACAAAGCGTTTCCAGCCCAACATTCACCACCGTACTCCATACCAGCCATGGTGTAACCCTTAGCCTGAGCGGCATCAAGACATCCAGCAATGGTCTGGTTGGTAGTAGCGAGGGAGATGTAGTTGACCAGCGCACGCGCTTTAGTGGCTTCAGTGTAACAACCAAGGTTGGTCCAGGACTTGTAGCTGGTGACGATAGGGTTGATCCAAGCATCGGACTTGTAGACGTTCAATGCGTTAGGTCCACCACAATACTCAAGGTCATCACCGACACAGGTCTGGTAACAAGATTTGGCGGAGATAACCTGAGTGGTAGGAGGCTCCGTGTCGGAACAGAAACACTGGGTAGCGTACTCGACACCTGCGTACTTGTAGTTCGAGACCTGGCAAAGCGCCAAACAGGACTCGACGGTCATAGTGTCATCCGTAGACATCATGTGGGTCAAGAGACGAGAGTTGGAGTATTCACCGTAGCAGCCCATGTAAGTCCAGTTGGTAGGATTCACAACAGTAGAAGGCTGGTTGGCGAGGTGGTTGACGTTGTCAGGGATGAAAGATCCGTTGTAGACCTGGGTGTCATTGAACAAAGTAGTGTTGGCAACGTTGTCGCAAGTAGAGTACATGACAGCGTTGTCAGGACCATCCTGGATAGGGTTGCAACCAGGAAGAGCAGCCAAAGCAGCACCGGTGACGATCTCATCAACGATGGGAGACCGAATACAGTTCTTGCCCTCCCAGAAGAGATCAGAGTTGTCGAGCGTGAAGTAAGGGCAGTCCTCGAGCAGACCAGAAGAAGCATTGCAGTTGTTGATAGCGTTCTCAAGAGTGTCAAGATCCCAACCGTTGATGAAGTCACCGTGGTATCCGTAACCAGTGGGGTCACCCATAGCCCAAACCATGTGGTGAGAACCGTTCCAGCGCTGATTAACCAAGGAGTTGATATCATAGGTAGTCTCAAAGAAAAGGGTAATGAAGCGAATAGGGTGGGAGTCAGGGCAAACACCGTTGTCCAAACCAGATGGGTAAGCCATGTGGCTTTTGTGGTCGTCAGAATCGAGGTTCACACCATCCCAGCATGAAGGGAATATGATTTGCGCACGGAGACCCTGAGGGCAGTTGTAGCCCGGGAAACCGTATGTAGCGGCCTTCGGATCATCGTAGTTCAAGCAAACGTAGTTGATAGCGAGCTGGTCTTGAACATCGTTAAACTCACGCAGGTTCATGGAACCAGCGAGCATTCTGAAGCCGGCGGGGAAGGTAGTGAGAGCGGCGGAATCGTTGTCACGACGCTGGAGGTAGTAGGCGGTCATACCACCGACCTGAGGCACATCCTGGAAGGTACCGTCTTCGTTCTGCCAGTAAAGAGATGGTGTCCAGTAATTGGACATATCCTCCTGAACCATACAAGACGTGCAGTCTGATGCGCGGAGCTCCTCATAGGAAGTGGTCAAGCCGAAGTTGGAACCACCGTGGATGGTGTGTACGTGACCGGAGATCTTTCCAGGGCTGACAATAGGGTCCGCGCGCTCAACAACGAGAGGAGCATTACAGATCAATCGGAAGAACGCAAGTGCTGGTGCGACATTGAGCGCAAGGGCGAGAAGTGTTGCCGTAGTGAATTGTGTTGAGGAGACCATGATTGCACTGGTATATATATCCTTCGATCAACGAGAGGATGGTGCAATTGTCGAGCTGAGGACCGGTCTGAGCGTATGAAGACCCATGACACTGGGAGGCCAAAGCCTTTATATGAAGAGGGAAAGACCTCTTCACATCGAGAGTCGCACAGCCGGCAGACGCCCCCGAGCGCCGGAAAGTCGGTTTAGGCCTTTGTCATGCAACGCAACATGCTGGAACGGACTGCTAAAGGTTCATACCAGGAGGCCTTTGTCAGTCTGCAGTTGAGTCCGTGCACGCCATGTGGCGCGGGGGCTTCTGGTCTGTGCGCGAGAAATATGGCCGGATTGGGAAGTCAAATGGAAGTTAAATCACAGGGATTAGAAGGATATATCCGGGCAGGCAGGCCGAGATGAAGGGCTGATATAGTGAGGTTCGTGATCCTTTTCGAGGCCTGAGAACGCGTCAATTGACGTCCTCGACGTCCAGATATCCTCGTATCTCTCCAAATCTCCATTCTCGCACGCGTTCTGGCTGCTGCAAGGGTATGATCTCAATTGCACGGAAACCGTTAGCAGCACGCGCCTTCCCTTGCCACATTCGAGAAATGGCCAAAGATCGGCAACGTAGACCCACGACTTGTTCGAATCTCGGTCGATGCGAAAGGCCATGCCGACCGTTAACCATTCCTCCGATCCGAGAGACAGATGAATTCTCCTGGCCATCTATGAACCATTACCGAGTTCTCATGTCGATCGGGGCCAACGCCTGTCATCGTTTTCGAGCTCGGGAGCCCACGCGCACACACGCACACGCGCACACGCGCACACGCATGGGATGGACATGTGGACCCGAGAAGTCTCCGCCCCTCCCCACACCCGACAAATGGCGTACCTTGCGGACCACGTATAACATACAGCCAGCTACATCGCTGTTCAATTCATTATCTGATCAATTGACAAAATGAACCGCGGTCCTCTCATCTTGACCATCGACGAAGCCGAGTACCTTCTCGATCAGCTCCCTCCTCCGGGTCCTGACATGTCTCCCCTCGAGGAGAAACTCCGCGAAAAGCTTGAGCAGTTCTTGAGGGAAGTCCGTAAGAACGCTGAGGGTGCTGGGAAGTCTGACTAAATCTGTCATTCCCTAATATGATAATGCAGTGGGTGTGTAGGTAGTGTGCCTTGAGATTGTACGAGGGACGATAGGCTGATTGAGAATGTAGGTTGTGGAACGGGTGGTTTGTCAAGTTATACCCTCTCTCTGTTATAGTAGTTATCAAAGGACGCCCAACCGATGAAGAATGAGAAAATGTATCACACCCTCAAAGTTTAGCCTGCTGCCCATCGCCCTCCTTACGACTCCTCAATATCTCCAACGTTCTCTCCGGACCTCCAGCCTGAACAAACAAACGCTCCAATCCTAGCGCCAAATCCTGGGCGTACATCTGTCAGCACATGTAGATACGAGGCCAAGAAAAGTTACGCACAATATCTCCACCAACTTTGATACGCCCACTCACAATGCCTTGCATCCCACTCAAACCACCCGCACAAAACCTGACCAAATCCTCATCTTTGAGCTGTAGAAGGACAATCGGCAAGGGTTTCCCACTCGTAAGCGGGAGTTCGGGACGGGTAGATGTGATGGTGGGTTTACTGGGAACACCAGTGAAAAGCATGTACCTGTTTGCCGTCTTCCGTTAGCCAAAGTTCAGCGTACACGAACACAACAGACCATTCTTGAAAATGGGCATCGCCAGTTTCTCCTTTGTTTTGGAGTACTTGGATGATGAACAACCCCTTCAGGCCTCCAGCCAAGGACGGGTCCTTTTCGACTTCCTGCCTGAGCCGTGGGAATATTTCGGAGGCGGCCAGCGGGCGAATGGTAGCCACCTTGCTCGACGGGTTGGGAAGGACACAGCTGTTGGGAGGCATTGCTGTTTGGTTTGTGGAAAGGGGGGATGTTCAACTCCTCAAGCAAAGTTCCTTCATCGAGAGCATTTTATGGTTGGAGGTCACGCTGCGCTGCGTGCAGGCTGAAATGAAGCGGGGGACTGACATGTGAAAATCACCGCCATACAGGACAACAGTGAAGCATTGTCATCAAGACGACGAGGAGGGCCCGAACAATTGCAGAATTCAATATATATCAACGCCATACCCCTACTAGAAACCCATTCCGAAACTCACGTTCATGCCATCCCAGCCTTCAGCTTGAGACAAACTTTTATCCTACATCCATAGATCTCACTCCTCCTTACATCATCACACCAGCAATGGCACCAGCAACGGCAACCAGACCAACACCCAACTTCCCAGCACCAGAGGTGGTACCAGTGCTAGTGCCGGAAGCAGCGCTGCCAGAGGCAGCAGCAGTTCCCGAAGCGGAAGCGGTGGAGGACGAGGAGGTAGAGTTGGTGGAGGTCAACGTGCTATTGGAGGAGGAGGAAGTGGAGGTAGAGGCGGAGGAGGGACCGGCGGAGACGTTGGTACCGTTGCTGCAGGCGCTGGAGGAGGTGGCAGCCGAGGAGGAGAACTGGATAGCGGCACACTGGTAGAGAACACCGTCACCGCCAGCGTAGGCAACTTGAACCGTAGCGTTCTGGCCCTCAGTAGGGGAGCCAGCAGCAGCAGCCCAGTTTACGCTAGGGAAGCAGAAGTCACCCAAACCGTTCTCAGTGAATTGAGGAACAACAGTGATGTTGAAGTCAGCGTTGGTGGTGGGGTCAGTGCTCAATGCCAACTTGACAATAACCTGAGCGGTAGGGTGACCAGCGTAGATCGCGAAAGGAGCAGTACCGTCCAGCGGCACAAGGGTGCGATTGGTCGCATCAGAGGCGGAGAATCCACCGCAGGGGGCAGTGGGCTCGTTGTCCTCGTCGAAACCGACCGTCTCGGGGTAGTTGAGGGTGAAGTGAGCAGAGGCGGAGGAGGCCAAGGCAGCGAGGGCGGCGAGGGTGAAGATCTGCATCGTTGGTATGTACTTAGAGAATGGAATTGAACCCTGAAGAAAGAGATGTTGATCCGCCAAGAAGAGTAGGGACTGGCGAAGTCTATATACTCACTCGATGTCTGCTTGTTGGGCGTCGTTAGCTCGGCCACTTTTCGGAGCCTTTCTGCGCGGAGGCGGATCGATCCGCATCTCGACACCGGCAAAATAGTCCTTGGGTGAACGCTCTCAGTTGAAGGTAAGAGTAATGAACCTTATTTGAAGAAACAATCCGGCCAGTTACGACGGGAGCATTTGTATTGGCTGAGGCTCTCCAGCTCTCCAAGATCCGTGAAACCGCATGTGCATTGCAACCGGGTATCCTAAATATGTATGCTTGTACTCCATAAACCCAAAATGAAGCCAATTGAGCTATCCTATAACCAAAGATGCCGACCCAGTTATTTACCATCTGAAACTCTCCACATGAAGGTAGATTCCCTGCGCCCCGGTTCCCTTGTGCACAGCCCTCTCGTCACTGAGAGAAATCACCGTGTTCCTCATCATTGCTCCAAGAGCGGTAGGTCCGCAGACGACCACTCCCGTCTCTCCGAATGCTTGCTCCAAATCCTCCTTCAACAGCTTCTTCAACGCTGGTCTACCTGAGAATGCCGGAAGCAGAGGCGTGGAGCCTGTAGAGGACGAGGGAGGAGGCGGGACGGTGCAATTGCAATTGCATCCCGTATTCACCCCAATCACCTCAATCTCATCATCACTGCTCGACCTAGACGTCGCACAACAACACTTCCCATCCGCACAAGTCGTCTTCAACCCCGCAACCCCATCAGCGCCAAAGTTCCCAAGCTCCGCATTCGCAGTAAACGTCTCATCACAAGTGACATGAATATCAATTTTGACCTCCAATCCCCTAAATCCCTTCTCCTGCACCAACAGCCTGATCTTACCGAGCTCTTCTGCGCACCATGCTGTATGCGCGTAGGCCTTGATAACCCAGATGAAGTGCAACCTCCTCACAGCAGAAAAGTCCCTTCCCTTCCTCGCACGCTCGACCAGATCCATCAAGATGGGCAATGTGAAGGTAACTCCGGAAGCTCCAGCAACCAACACGACAGTATCATATGCCCACACCATGGGTGATACACCGTATGGTCCATCAATGATGGCACCCATCTTGCGTTCGTTCGCGGGTGGAAGCATCTCCGCTGCACACTTCCAGAGTCTGCCGGAGAACCCACGCTTACCCTTGATAAGGAAGGTGAGCTTCTTGTCAGACGGGATAGACGCGATGGTGAAAGGGTGAGATTGCGTAGCATCAACCAACCCGAGACTCGGGATGCGGAGGAAGAGATGCTGACCGGGAGTCCACGAGGACAATGTCGGAGCCTCAATGGTGACCCGAGTAGTGTGTCCAGGAAGAGCCTCGATCATGGCTTGGTTGCCGAGAAGAGTCTTGCTGGAAGTGATGGACTTGTCCTTCGAACAGCAGCTCTTCTCGTCAATCGCCACAGCCTTGCCACAACAATCCTTTTCCTCCTTCTCGCTAGAAGAACAGCAAGACTTCTCCTCTCCAGATCCTCCACGCTGAATAGTCCTCAACCTCAACGACCTCCATCCAATCATCACCGTACGAACAGTACGGTCAAACGCCCAGAATGCAACCGGTACCCACAAGTACGCACGAGCAGTGGCAGGGATATGTACGTACACCATCACCAAGAACGCAACAGCACTGGCGATATGCTGCAACACAAAGAACTCATACCTCCATCCACGGATCGGCGCGAAACTGCTGAGGACGATCCACAACAGGATACCCCACGCAGCGAACCCAGACTTAGCCATCGGATAATTCTTGAACTGCTGCTTCGTGACGCCGTAGTGATTCCACTCCGTGATGAAGTAACCCCAGTGAACAGTGGAAGTTAACAACAATCCACGCGCAGCCCAGCGGTGGATGTAGTTAAGGCGTTCATGGGAAGTGCCGGTGATCCAGCCGATGGGGTTGTTCTTCCCGGCCAAGATGAAGAGAAGGGGAAGCTGAGCAACACTGATCCATGCCGCACGATATGCTACCGATTCCCACTTATAGCTTCCCGACACCCATACTTTAGCAAACGTAACCGAAACGACAAGGACGAGGTAGGCGAGGATGATATACAAATTCGATAACGGCGGCAAATGCAGCTGCGGAAAACTCTTTGACGGAAGCCACTGCGGGTAAGAACATTCTCGCGTAATGGCGGTGATTGTTGCCCAACTCTTCAACACAAAATTCCGTGGTCGGGATGGAGCGACGTCGCCGCGCCTGGAAGCTCGTAACCTATACCCGCACTGATCAGCGCGTGCACGAGACAACCCAATCTTCACAGGAGCCGGACATACCTTTGGAAACAAATCGCATGGTGTGCAACATTCACGACGCCGGCGGTGGCGATGACAGCAGCGACCGCATACCAGAAATACTTGGCGAATTCCTGATCTCCAGGAGCGAAAGAGGAGTCCATGGAGGACATGTCCATGCCCGACATACGGCGCGACAGGGACGTCATAGGGAGACGAAGACAAACGACGACGAAAGGACTTGACGAGAATGAAGGCTTGGGACGATACCTACATGTAGTATTTCATACGGTGCAGGCATTTGCGGGAGGTGTACGTTAGTTTCCGCTGCTCGGAGGCTTTTGGCGTCAAACCTACATACCCTCCGAGTAATGCGAACGCATGCCGCGGAACTCCTCCACCAAAAGTCTTGGGACCTCCATACGATCAGGCATCAAAAACCTCCATTGATCCCGTTCTCGAGTTTTACCGTTACACAGCAACTGCTAAGCCTCAACGAACAGACCAACCGTTTGGCTCCGAAATTCACGTAACACTTCACCGACTTTTACGCACCGACGACCTATAAGATGTCCTCGACGGATCCTAACGCGTCACCTCTCGATCTCAGCGGCTCCTCATCCTCCTCTTCCAGCGGCATGGATATGTCCTCCTCTAACACGACCATGATCCACATGATGTCAATGACATTCACCACCACTCCCCTCGGCACCATGCTCTGGGGCGACGCATGGAACCCCAAAACCCCCGTCGCCTACGCCTTCACTTGGCTCTTCCTCTTCGGCCTCTCCATATTCTCGCGTATGATGTACGCTGGAAAAGCGTGGGCTGAATCAAAGTGGCTCAAGACGGGCGCTGTTGGTGGGAGTATTGTCGTTGTTGCAAGCCCAGGGACTGGAATTACGGTTAGGGAGACTGAGATTGTTACTACGAGTGAGAAAAAGGATGGAGAAGCGAGGGCGGGGAGTGTGAGTAGTGGTGATACTGTTGCGAGCTTCAACACTGCCGCGCAGGCTTATAAGCTGTTGCCGTGGAGGATGAGTGTTGATGTGCCGAGGGCTCTCATCCAGTTTGTCATTGCCGGTGTGCAATATCTTCTGTGAGTCCATCATATCTCTACTCGGATGAATCAAAGCTAACGAGGTTACAGCATGTTGGCAGTCATGACGATGAACGTGGGATACTTCTTCTCCGTGCTCGGCGGAATCTTCTTCGGAGAGTTGATCGTGGGACGGTACACGGCGGCCTTCCACCCCGTCGGAAGCGACTTGAACGAGCACCATTAAGCTTGCTCGTGTCTACATTACATTTGAATCTACGTTACATCTTCTCAATATCCCTGCTCGGTTGATTTCACCTCATTTGAGCATCTCACTGACTCCTGCAGCTGCAGTCGATCCGGCACACTTCATCCGCTCGCACTAAGTGACGTTATTTGGTAGAGCTAGAACTCTTAGTAAGCGCCCGGTGAAGGTATACCTCCAATTGCCCGTTGTCTTCCATTCTTTACTTCAATCAATGACAATGTCGTCTGGAATGTGCCCTCAGTGCGTCAGTGGTAAGTCTCCCACGGATCATCCCTCGTACAACCACTAATTGTACACAGGCTTCCTCCACGAAGGAACCCCCTCTGGCTCCATAGTCAAGATTGGCGGCATCGACGCCTACGTCGCCACTCCTAAAGACGACAACTCAAAATCCAAAACCATCGTCCTCCTCCCCGATGTCTTCGGCTGGGAACTCAACAATGCACGTCTCCTCGCCGACGACTACGCCCGTGCCGGATTCTACGCCGTTCTCCCCGATATCTTGAATGGTGATTCCTTGCCCGCGGATTACCTTGATTCTGCGAAGAGTACGGAGGATGTGTATCGCCTCGTCGGTCCGTGGTTGCAGAAGCATGGTGACGCTGTGACTGAGGCTCCCATTGACGCCGTCCTCGCCGCTCTCCACGCCGACTCAAACGTCGGCAAAATCGGTGCGGTAGGATTCTGTTTTGGCGGGTTGTATGCGTTGAAGTACGCCGCAACCGACAAAATCTCCGCCGCAGTCGCCGCCCACCCCTCCCGCATCCAAGTCCCCGACCACATCCTCCCCATCCGCCAACCCATCTCCTTCGCCGTCGCACGCACCGACGTGATCTACGACGAAACCAAAGCAAAGGAGGCAGATGAGGTTCTGAAGAAGAATGGAGTAGAGCACGAGACCAAGATCTATGATGGGGAGGGTGTTGGGCATGGGTTTGCTGTTAGGGGAGATTTGAGTGTGGAGAGTTTGAGGAAGGCGAAGGAGGAGGCTACGGTGCAGACTTTGGCGTGGTTTAAGAAGCATCTTGCTTGAAGCTGTCATGATCCATGATGTAGCGAACATTACAAGGACAGATCAAAATGCTACGAAGCAAGGCCAGCCCAGGTGTCATGGTGCCCAGCGTGAATGCGCTATAAATAGCACAACGAAATTACCGGGTGCCCTGCAGGGATCAATATTAATCTGAGAGGTCGGCATGTGATCGGCGCAGTCCGTGGCGCCACATCCGCTGGACGTCACCGCCCTCGTCTGCCGTTGCCTCCCTGCCTCCTCAACAGCTGCACTCAGTTCACTGGAAACCCTGGTCATCTCCGTCCCAGATCCCGCTGCCACCCAAACCTTGGCCTTCATTCAACAGCCGAATAAGGTTCCGACTTGCTTGACCGTGTGGCTGGTAGGCACTACGTCATCGCGCAACTGCTTGAACCTTGTTCCTCAGCCCACGCTAAAATGAATTGGAAACTCCTGAGCCTTGTTGTTTGTGTGCCGTGTCGCATATAAGAACCCCCTGTTCTCTCTTCTGCTATTCTCTACTGCTACCACCACAACCAATAACAACAAGAACAAACAACAATGGGTGCCGTCGTTTCATGCGTATGGTCCACTCTTCAAAACCATTGGGAGTAAATGCTGACGAGGATTTCATACAGATTACTGGCGTCTGCCGCGCAATTGGCTCTGTCCTCATGGCTATCGTTAACGGTATCGCCGCGGTACGTCTCCTCCTCTCCACTCACTGCCTCCGTGCATTTACTAATTACATTGATAGGTCCTTACCGCCATCGTCAACGGTATCGCCGCCGTCTTTGACATCATCATCTCCTGCCTCACCTGTGGTCGCGCAGGCGGCCGTCGCAGAGGGGGAACGACTGTATAAACCAGCCCCTGACCAAGACCAAGTGAAGGTCAGGGGCGGTACGCGTTGTGTGATGATGAGTGGGATGAGTGTACGTTAGGGTGAGGGAACTTCTTTAATAAGGGGGATTCGGATGCATTGTACGACTACTCGCGGGCTTCGAGGACAGACTAGAACGTTTTACCGGCGGTGTCCGGTACCTTGGATACTTTTAATGATATTGCTTTTTATACCTTATGAACGTTCACTGCGTGGCATCGATACTATCCTACACGTCCATCCTATCGTACCAGTTGACATCCCAAGCATTAACTTAGAACCACGTCGTGATCCTTCCGCTACCCTTGATTGCATTCACGACCTCTCGCGCAACAATCTTCTCCGCCGGCTCCGAAGGATGCAGCTCATCAAACCACAAAAACCTGTCCTGGTTCCCGTTCGTCTTGTAGTCGCTAACAGCATACGAGCAGTTTCCGCTTCCGCTGACGGGACAATGCGCAACCCAACCCGTAACATTATCCAACCCATAAGCCTCCGGCTCATGATACATGTCCCAAAACAACCCATACGAATCAAACAACCCAACCTCTGCTCCCTTCAACTCGTGCGCGAGCGCCGGTGCACCGAGTCGCCAGAGTTCGTTTCCGGAGGTAACGAGTTCGGTCATGAAGATGTTCCAGGAGGTTGCGTTGAACTCGTTTTTCCAGTAGCGGGAGTTGGTGGCGTCGCGGGAGTAGAGGGGAGTTAGTTGGAGGGGAATCATGTTCATGAGGAGGAATTTGCGGGCCCCGTATTGGTAGAGGGTGCGGAAGACGTTGAGGGCGCATGCTGTGGTGTTGACCAATGTCACGCCCGGGATTTGGTTCCCGGTAAGGAGGGAGTCGACGCCCAAATCGTTCGTCCCAATCCACAACGAGTAAATCGTCTCTTCAGGGTCGAGGTCGAGAGCCCAACCGCCGTAGGTCGTGTTCACCAAATGATCCGTCAAAAAGGCCGAAATCTCATACTCCGACACGCTCGGAAACACACCACTCGTCGCCTTGGGCGCACCCAAATCATGCCTCGGCGTCAACAAATTCGAACAACTCGCTCCAGACACAGCATAATTCCACGTCTCGAGGCCCCCAAACTCCTCAGCATACTTGACCCAGGTCGAGCCACCGTTCGCGGCGTAGGCACCAGGAGGATAAACTTCCTGGTAGTGCGCGGGAATGGAGCCGTTGGTATAGAAAGCTGTGAGGCGGGACTGGTCGGTGTAGGAGTCGCCGAAGGTTACCAAGTTTGTGATCTTGGCGTAGGCGGAGGTAGAGGCGAGGAGGAGAGAGGAGAGGGCAAGAGCGGGGAGGTGCATGTTAAGCGAATGTAAGAGTGGGAAGCGAGATGATGAGGGAGATCAAAGCGAGGAGTGCGAGGCCCTTATGTACCCCATTCCCCAGATCAGCGGGGGTAGCCCAAGGCGGGGCTTGTCTCTCCATGGCCATGATCTCTTTAGCCTGCCTGCAGCTGAGCTGGCCGCGGAGGCATCATCGAGCATCTCCGCGGGGACCACTACCGAGAGCAGATCGTCCTCGTCTGATCTTCCACCGAACGTCACTTGCGATTTACCCGGCGGCGATGCGCTCAAGTGGAAGTGGCTGGGGTGGGGCTCCGGGGTGCATGCAGATGTCCCGGGGCAGCCGTGGTGGGAATGGCCAAGTGACAAAAAACTTCCTTTGCTAATTACATGCCATAATAACCTGATATAACGCCTTCCACCCAAAAAACACTTCCCAACCTCCCATTACCAAACTTCACTCTCGTAGCACTTCAACAAAATCATCTCCTCCATCACAACTGCTGTGGTCCCTAATGTCAACGTCCCCCTTAAACACTGTCATATCTTACAGAAAAGAAGAAGATACCTAATCATATGCCAAAACCATCCCCTATCCAATACCCCCTATTCATACATACACCCCCACAACCCCCACTCACATATACTCCGGCCCATGATGTTCCCCCTCCTGCGGCAGATACTGCAACTCCTGCCCATCCTGAGTTCCACGCATCCCCGGACTGGCATTCAAACTCGCATACGCACTCCCATCCCCCGTCCTCGTCCCCGATTGCCCAAAATAATCGCCTTGCCCGGCACCGTAATAAAGCCCAGGACTCGTCTGATACCCAGCAATCGGCGGCGTAGGGTTGGGATCATTCGGGAACCCCGAACCGCTTTGCCAGCTATTCGCCGGCATGGGAAGATGAAATCCATGTTGCCGTAACTCCGGACTCTCAAGAGCGTGTGTAAAAGAACCCGTGATGGGACGAGAGGCGTTGGAGGAGGAGGAGTATGTCGAGTGCGAGGCGTGTCGGAACATATCCTCCGTCGGCGTCGTAGGATCCTGGTAAGTCATTGCGAGGGCGTGGTTTGCCGCTTCGCGGGCTTGTTGGCGAGTCGAGGGTTCGGGGGAGAAGTACATATCCTGTTGACCCGGTGCAAAGGATTGCACCGGGGCGGGGCTGGTAGAGTACTTCGGTGCCGTAGCCTGATGTGACATAGAGTACTGCTGTTCCTCTCCGTACGTCTCAGCAGCAGTAGAGTAATCCCAAGACCTCGGAACCTGCTGAGACTGTTGACGGGAATGCTGCTGAGGCGAGGTCCAGTAATGCGCACGGCCCTCAGCACCAGCACCCAACTCCGACTCACTATAACTGTGAGGAAGCGTCGGCCTGTTGATCCTAGGCCTAACAAGACCCGGGGCACTAAACTCCTCCTCAACTAGCATCTGGCTCGACGGAACCTGGTTGTAATGCCTCAACTGTGGAATTGGGTGGATATTGAAGTCACTCCCAGGCGTCGTGAACGCTGTACTCAACGGCGGACTGGGTTGCTGAGATGTAGACGCAGCATCCTCCGGGTAAAAAGGCTCGTTCAGGTATTGAATCGGATGAGCAGGACGGACGAAGGCGTTGTCTTCTTGAGCGGCTGCGTACTCCTCATACCTCTCACGACAAGTCCCAGTAAGTGTCATACCAGCCGGAACGCTCCTCGCCATCGTGGGACCATCCTCCATACTCCTCGCCGGCATCGATTGAGGTTCAGGCTCGCTCCTCTCTTTCGAAAACCCAATGGGCCTTGTAGGGGTCTTTGGCATATTGCTGATACTGCGAAGACCAGACTTCTCATACTCGTCGCTAAACCCAGGCTTAAGATACGAAGGCCCCTTCATGCGATGTCTTTTGGAGTTTTCGACGGGTTTGACGATACATTCGCGGTGCATGCGGACGCAGTTATTGCAGGGACTGCTCTCGCTGTTTTCGGGACGGATGCATCTGATTTTCCTTCTCCGACAGTACGCTGTTCAAAATAGTTAGCATACATCAGTGAAAATCAAAGAAGGAGACATACAACAAGCAATCGACGTCCGATGGTATCCAAGTCGGTTCTTCGGCTTCATAGTCTCCTCCGTAACTTGATGATCCATCAAGTCCGAGTCCGAGTAGTGTTGTGGGTACGGATACGCTTCCTTATACGGATCCATCGCTAAACTCTGCCCCGCAGGCGGCGAGGGCATGTAGGCGTTTGATGTCGATGACAACTTATTGTAAGGATTCAATTGTTCAAATACGTTGTAACCGTCGATGTTGGAGTAATGGATGACTGACGTAACAGAGCTCAAGGGTTGAAGAAGACCGGCGGTGTACATTCACGAATTGATCGGCAGGCCACGCGAGCAGAAGCGTGAGTGATGGTTGATCCAGAATCCGGCAGTGAGTGAGTCAATTGCAGTCGCTGTTGATGAATGCCTTCTTGAACGGAACAACAGGATAGCAAGTGGGTGACAGAGGATGCCACCTATTCTATATAAAGCCCTTTTTTACCCAACCAACGGCGGGCGCTCAGACACATTCGGGAGTGGACCAATATTCGCAGAGACGCGTGCACATGCCCAGTCTTGCGAAATCGGAGGAACAGAGTTCCATGAAACACCCGTCTCAGAGCTTCATTTCAGCGGCCCTGCCAGGTACCACGTGCACTGCTAGACTGGTTGGGAACCGAGGGTAACTTGGCTGCGTGCTCAGTTGAGCGCCTATCGTGGCTTCCCGACGCCCTTTACGTGACGCCCAACGAGATCGGACGGTGCAGTGAGTTTGGGACAGGGGCAATTGTAACCTCCGTGTCCCCCAACGATCCTACCTCCCCCCTTCGTGTCTCGGACCTGCAGCGTCAATCTTAGCAGCTGCCCGGTTACCGGTGGAAGTCACCGCCGTCGCCTCTGATTTCCCTGCAGCTGCTGGAAGAGCATCGACCGCGATCGCGAGTAGCTGTCAACTGCACTCTCTTTTTGATCTTCTAATAATCAGGATAAGGGTGCGCTCCTCGACCTTACTTGGCGACGATTTGCAACGGCTCGCCGGACTGCAACGGTCATCATGGCCGTGGGCAAGGCGCAATCACATGCTTACACGATGTTACAGCACCAGCTGGCCCCAACCTGGTACCTGATACACTCACTCCACTCTCCACCATGACCAGTCGACTGATAATTAGGTAAGCCAGAGCACACCTGTTGCCCTCAAGTGCAAGAAGCGCCTCGGCAGCCCTGTGGATTGACGCGGAAGAATTACGATATCAGGTGCACTCCGTACACTCCCCCACTTCTGCGGTACTTGGAGGTTGATCACCTGAAACACCAAAGGTCATATGCATATGTCTATGCCAACACAATGCAATGCACGCACCCGGCCGGTCCACATGCCGAGGTGTACGACGACCTCTTCGCGTTACCGAGGGACTTGGGATTGTAAAGCTTGGGTAAATTGAACTGAAACTTCCTCTAGAGAGAAGGTTGTGTCAGGTTTCGTACCTATAGGCGGGGCGAAACCTTGCCAATCTAACGAAGTCCTGGAGAATCCCTGTTGATCGCGTTGAGCATCGCCGTTAGGTGAGGCTTACTATCATGCACCAATTCACTTTACCAATTCCTGGTCTACGTATAGGAAATCTTGGCACTCCGTATCTCTACTCTACCCAACATGACACGTACACAGCCCTTCCCTCCCCTCCGCTCCGCTACCCTCCCGGGCAGTCTCAATCCGAATATCCTCGCGTTACCGGATGCACGATTCGCTATCGAACCCTACGCTTCCAACTTTCCCCGCCGGGCGGATCGCTGCGCTCTAGCAAACCTTGAAATTACTTTATCCCCAAAGGCTTGAGCAAAGTTGCAGCTTCGCCTCCACAGCGCGCTGCTCCAGCAGCTAGCGCCGGGGCGCTCAGACCGTCGAAACAAACCCAAAACCACGTATGTAATCAAAGAAGTCAAACTTTGGATTGAGATTCCCAAGCGAGGATTACATGCACACCCTCCAAAACTCAAACGAGCCAAAGGTGACCCCAGGTCACATTACAGACGCTCCAAACTAGCCCCGGTCGAACGTTACCCCGCCCACGCGTACGAATCGCCGAGGTTAGGTTTCCACGCTATGTGGCTCATAACACACACTTGAGCAACCTTGGGAACATCAATTTAGTAGTTGGACTTTATCTGAGAAACAGTATGATCTTCCGGGGAAACGTGGCCTAAAGTAATGCACCGAAAACCACTACATAACCAAAACACTCTCAATCCTCGGCCGGCGCAGCGGGGGTGTCGGTAGAGCTCGAGCACAGCACACAGCTGTCAGATAACCTCGGTACGCGGTACGCGGTACGAGACGGCGGCTACGGCCCCTCGGTCAGTTCTCCGTCGATCGCTGTCACTGCACAGGGAACAGAGCGAATGCGTAAAAGCAAAAACGCCGCGTAACCGTACCCCGCCTAACCCTTAAAGTCCCTGTTGAAAAATGCATGGACCTGCCTTCCTGCCTCAGGTCCGATCATGTCGATAATCTCCCTCTGTGTCGAGTTCACGAATTCCTTCACGTTCTCGGACGAGAATATGACGTTCTTGTAGTTCCGTTCCGTAATCCCCGGTACTCCACGCAACAAATCAACAGCAGCCTGATTATACTGCGACGTCGCATCCTCACCTTCCTCAAGACCAATGGTGACAGCCTTCAACGGATCAGGCTCCTCATGCTGCTTCTTCAAATCCTCGAAGATCTCAGCAGTCTGATACGGTGACGACGACCAGATAATCTTGACTTTGGGGAACGCCAGCATGAGCAACACCAACTTACTCTGTAAATCATTCTGCCCAATACTCCCCGTCATGTCCGCAAACGGCTCCAAATTGAACGACTTGTTCTGCTCAAACTCGATCAAGATAATCGGAGTCTTGTAATGCAATAACATCGTCTCGCACTGCGTCCACAACCGACCATTCGCCAATGACTGAATCAAATCCTTGACAGACTTTCGCTCCACGCACATGGTTGGTGACAGGATGTAATCACCCACCGTCAGTAAACATGGAATGATGGTCAGATTCCGCCCATGCAACAAACTCGGCAAACTGGACCTGAACTCACGCACATCAACCACGACCCTCGGCGGCTCCGCAGTAACTTTCAACCTTCCCCCACCCGCAATCCTCGTATTCACAGTTCGCAAGAACGCCTCCTGGGGATCCTCGATACCCGTATCCTTGGTGAAAGTTAGGGCCATATTTCCCCTCTCCCGAATTAGCTTCGTGAACGCATCTTTCTCTTTCCGTACGGAGCTCAGATACCGCTGTTCCTCGACACTCGCACCATAGTACATGAAATACATCCTCATGCTCCGGTTTCGGTATGTACTCCTGTACATCTCGATGCGTCGAATAAAAGCAGGGTCGGGATCATACATGATGACAAACCTCGGCTTCAGTTCTTCCAGAACGCGATCATCCATATCACCGTCATATGGTACGACACAGACCAAATCATCCATATCATACATCTCAAAATTGCTTCCCATATCCTCGAACTGATCAATGATGAAGATCTCCTCCTTAACCTCCCCATCAGCCGCATCCTGAATCGACGCCGCCATTTCCGCCATATTCTGATCCTCATCATCGATCGTAATGACCTGCCTCCCTCCCGCCGTAGCCGCAGATGTACCACCTCCACGTACCCTCCGTCTCTTGTTCGGCGGTTGCCGGCCCCGGAACGAACTCCTATCATCCTTCCCACGCTTATCACCAGTTGACGACCCAGGTCTTCCTCCATTAGCGTCTTCCTTCTCCTTTGCAATTTGCTCACTCAAGTTTTTCCACCCCTTCTTCCACTCAAAGTAATCCCTCAGCTTGCGTTTCAGCATGAGCCTAGCACTGGGTCCATCACCTTTAACACCATCATGCATGGTTTGCAAGTATTCCCTGATTTGTCCAGCCGTTCGTTCGTCGGAACACATAATCAGGACAGAGTTCGTTCCAGCATCTGGTCCAGGCGGGCTGAAATGGAGTTCACGCTCGATCTCATCCATCACCTCCGCCAATGTACCCCACTTCGGCTGTTCCTCAAGTACCGGCTCAGTCTTCAAGGACCCCAGTGTCTCCGTATACACCCTCTTCCGCGCCAGCGTAAAGATCGTATTCGCTGCATCCAAGAAAAGCCACGGACTTGCACTTTGTCGCGTTGACCCCGGTGCAGGTGTATTCGTCGCCAAAATCGTTTCCAAGATCTTGTTGAAGCTCACGCAATCATAGCTGAGGAGGTAGTGCAATATCGACCTCAACGTACCCAGATCCCCGACGATACCCCGAGTCTTCCAGCTCACGCGATGCCACACCGGATCCAACTGTCTCCGGACAGTAACATCGAAATTACGCGTCAACGCACTCTCAACATTCCACTCCTCAATATCAATCAACCCTGGATTCGACCTCTTCAACTCCGCCAAGCAAACCTCCATACACTCCAACACGGCATTCTGTATCAGTCTCATATCCTCCGTCATCTGCACTTCCAACTCGACCACATCCGTCGCTCTATGTTGGGACGAACTTTTCTTTGTCTTCGTCTCCAAGGACTCCGCAACAGCGATATGGAATCGTGGATACAGATATGCCCGGCGAAGGAAGAGGTTCCGCATCATGTTTGTCAATGGCGCGAATCCTGTCGTGAATGGCTCGGGGTTGTCGGAGAAGGCTTTGATGAACCCATCTTTGTTCTTCTGTCTGAAGATTCTTAGGATGAAGGCTTCGATGGATGTTGTGACTACTCGTTCTGATCGGATGACCACCAGGCCTGTCACCTTCTCTGGATCCAATAACCCTGTCAGGAGGTCCACTACGAGAATTCTCGAACTGACACTGAACAGGCCACCACCGACGTAAAGCTTCTGACGTTTCTCCACACCCATACCTTCATTGCGCACAATCCTCAATCCCAGCCCTCCATTGTCGCTCTTCGCACCGAGTTCTGCGATAGCTTCCCCGATGAAGTCTTCCTCACGACTATCGGCATTGACGAGAACTACTAGGTTTCCAGGCGTATCATAGGAATGTAGTAGGTTCGCGATGGTCCTCTGTAATCCGAGACCGCGTGCAAGAATCACCAACCCATCCTCCTCGCGGACTTCTTTGAACGCAGTCCGCTGGTATTCGAGCGGTAAAGACAGATGTATCGTCGCCGGTTCGGGGTCTTCAGGAAGCTGAGCTTCTCGATCATTGGTTGAGGGGTCTTCGTTGATGGGAAGTTCCTCGGTTGTCGCAGTTGGCTGTTCCGCAGGCGGGAGTATCACCGGACCCTGCGCAAGGGCCTGCTGAAGTTCTTCCTCATCGTCATCGTTTACTGGTAAAAATAGAGGGCCTCTGGCATCATTTGACATCTCAGCTGAATGGTTAACACCGAGGAATCTTCGTTACATTGCTTCTGCTGCAGCTGGCCGCTCGATGATGTCAAGAGCACACCTGCAGGCCCGTGCGCGTTAATGGAAAGCATGGGTAAAAGTTGACTTGCTCAATTTCTGATATGCTATTCTCGATCCCATAAACCGCCCGTAACCTCTTATCTAAAAGTTCCAAAAGCGACACTCCTGGTGTTCTGCCAAAGACTCTGCAACCTCGTGGACCCCGTGCTAACCTTCCTATCCGTAGTCACCTCATTCCTCACAGCCTCCAACCTCCCCTGCTCGCTCTTCTCATTAACATGATCCTGACACTTACACTCGCACCCCATTCCCATCGCACACCTCTCCTCCCCACCATCCGCAAACCACGATCGCATACACGTCGCATGCCCGCCATGGCTACACTCCAAACAAAACACACCAAGCCCGTTCACCGGAATCTCACATAGCGCACATTTCGGCTGACTCCGGATATGCTGACAAACATGACACCTGATTTCATCCGGTCCCAGACCTGCTCCACACATCGTACAACATACTCCTAAACCTACAGCGGGGCCGGTTAGTTTCTTCTCGCCGGGTATATCGGGTATATGATCTCGTTTACCTAGTCCACTATTCTTCTTCACCTCCTGGAAGGTTAGCTCAGGATCGACTTCACCTGCTACCGTTCCATGGCGGTTGAACTTGAGGAGTTCGAGTCTTGCCTCGAGGAGCCCCCATTGGTAGAGGAATTCGGCATACTCTTCTCTCCAGAGTCGCACTGGTTTGTCTGGCGAAACGAGGGGAACGTGTCGTTGATGGCGTTCGTCGTCGAATTCGCCCATGTTCATCATGATCACAGTGACATGTGGGTTACCCGTGTGACTTGGCTCATCACGCTCGGAACCGCTAGCACTAGCCGTAATCCTCGTCACTGGCCCCCATGTCACACCGAACCCGCTAGTCCCAGACGACGGACTCGGCTTCTTACTGTTCGGCGGAGATCCCGGCTGAAGATTCTTTAATGCAACCCCCAATTGACTCTGGTTCGCCCCCGTCGAACTCCTCGAATGATTCCTCACAACCTGCTCCCGCTTCGGCGATGTTCCCATCAAAGACGCCGCCGCAACCTCTTCCATCGGATTAATATGCCATGGTGCCAAACCCGGCGTGGGCGGCGTCCCATTCCCACCCCGAAATAGCTTCGGGAACGCATCAGTCGGTCCAGTGAATGAAGACCCACGACTCGACTCATAAGATCCATACACCGCTAACGGACTCGTCGTAGTCGTAGTACCCAACGGATGAGGTGACTCCTCCGGCGGATACGGGTGATGATGTGAGACCGAAAAGTAATCCACTGATGGAAAATACTCAAGATTGATCGCCGGAGTCGCGGGTTGAGTCGAGGACCGCGGTGGGTTCCGTCGAAGTAGCTGTATCGGCGGCGGCCGTTTCCGTTTTGGCTCCTTGAAGACACAGGAGAGCATGGCGAGTGTCTGGATATCTCCAAGCTTCTCGAAGTGACTGAATATCTCGTCGACCAAAGAACGTCCCATAGGGTGGTTACCCCACCTGACGCGACCATACAGATCAATGTGCTGCTTCGGCTCTGCATCCTCGTCACTCACACTAAGACCACTATCTTTTCTTTTGAATAGCGCTGAAGCCTTCCTGGCAACCACCAGGATAGGCCGTGATGCTCCATCGTCAGGCTCGATGATCTCAAGTGGTACTCCACTATTCAACAACATCTCAGCTAACAACCACACCTCTTCCAAATCTTTCCGTCCCTGCGTGCGTGCAATCCTCGCATTATGTTGACACAACCGTGGTCCAGTCATGACATACCCTTGCGCCAGCTTCTCATTTACCGGCATGATATGCGAGAAGTCGTGGATAGAGACGACATTCTTCCTGTTACCAGTCTTGATGGTAGCAGACCGATGTGCTGAATCACCCGAAATCAAACTTGTTCCCAATCTCCTCTGCGACAGTCTCTCAAGACTCGTGTCGATCTTCCACGATGGCATGACCGGCCTAATCAACAAACTATCATCAGTCCCCGTAGAGCTTGACTCGGCATCTGAATCATCACCCGACCCAGCACTCCCCTCACTAGCAAGACTCGCATGCCTCGTGGTCGTCCCAACCACCGGACCCGTACTCAACCTCCCAAACGTCTCGAAATACCGCTGATGACCCTTCTCCTCCGTTTTCGAGCCCTCGCCTGTCAAAGTACTGAGGAGCGTAATCTTAGACTCCTGTTTGTTCGGGAAGAAACAAACCAATTTCCCATTCCCAGTGAATATTGCGGCGCACTTTTTGGGTAGGGGCACATTCTGCGATTGCTGGATATGCATCTTCTGCCTCTCATCTTCCTGCCCAGCGAACGTGACCTCATCATCCGAATCAGACTCATCGGCATCGAATTTCCAATCTTCCTCGTCCTGGACTTCACCGAGTAAATAGCGAATAACAGCCTCCACACACGGCCGTCCACGCTCGACATGAATCGTAGCAATCTTGTTGAGCGCTTGTAACATCTCATCCAACTTCTCCCCGTGAATCGCCGCATTCCTCTCGAATTCGAAGGTGGGGGATGCAGTAACTGGATACTCCTCCGGGAACTGTACGTTCATCCGCATAAACGTAGGGTTCGGCGGGGCACCCACGTGTAACGCGATCGTCGCGACACGTCCAGCGACGTTGATCTTCTCGAAATTCACTTTTGGAAATTTCTGTCCGATACCACTCAGTTCCTCGCCTAGGTTCTCCGGGCCGTCCCAGCCGAAGGGACCGGGTCCTGATGCGGTACTCTTGCCCATTCTCACACCTCTCATCCACATCAAGGGAGTAACTTCCTTCTTCCCCTGTCCACCCTTATGTGTTGTCATGAATCCACCACCGCCTTGGCCCAACTGACTTCGTTGCTTGTAGAATGCAGTTTGCGAGCGGCCTGTTGAGCCACGGACGTTCGAGAAGGCTGGCGCGAAGGTCGGTGCAAAGACTGCCGGTCCCTCTTTGTTGGCAACCTCAGGTTCCTTGGAGAACGTTCGGTACTTCGAACCATATCTCGTCAAATGAAACCGGATCGGCTTGTCCTTCGTATGCCCCACAGACTTCAGCACCTCATCACTAACAGGCCACAACCGCAGAGTCTGATCCTTCGACCACGTAACGAGTTGAAAATCCCTATCATCTACATTGGGATTCTCCGCGCCTCTAGCCCTCCACAAGAACTCCTTCACCTGGTCGTTATGCCCCTCAAATGTATGCACCATCCTCACCGGCTCATCCTTCTCGAACTCCCGATCATACAAATAGAGATTATTATCCCCACGTTGCGGCATGAGCCCCAATCCCCAGCCAAACGGCGTATGTCGCGCTCTCCAGATAGGCGTATCCGTCCTCATCACCTTCTCCGGCTCATTCGACGGATCATTGAAGTCCCAGAACTTGACGGTCTTGTCGAGGGAACAGGTGATGATCTTACTCTCCTTCACCCGATTGAAATCAATTCCATAAATCTTCGCATCGTGCGCCTCGATCGTGCGTAACGGCGTCGCACCCTTCCGATCATCCCAAACATGCAAGAACCGGTCATGACTCGACGCAAGAATATGATCATTCTGTCTCGACCACTTGACCTGCGTAGCCCCCGCTCTCCAATCACTAAACGAATTAACAGGCCTCCTCGCATCCCTCATATCCCAACAATGGACATACGAATCAATCGCACAAGTCGCCAAGATGTCCGGATGATGCGCACTAAAATTAATATCCGTAATCGCCCTCGTATGCCCATGCAACACATGCTCAATCGCCCTCCGACTCGGCATCGCCAAGTTCCATACCATAGCTTTCTGGTTACTCGTGCTCACGACCCAATAGTCGCGTGCGGCATGGGGGTTCCACTGCACGTCGGCGACTTCCCAGGTTGTTAGGTGGTGGAGGTAGCGGGGTGGGTCGTAAGGGTTGTCGAGGTCGATGATGAGGAGGCCTTTGCGGGAGGCGAGAACGACATCGCGACCGGAGGGGGAGATGGAGAGGGAGCCCACGGGTTCGGGGACTTCGATGGTCATTTGACGACCGAAGGTTGGGGAGTTGAACGGGGACTCCTTCGTTGCGGCATCGGCGTGGATCGAGGATGAGCTTTGATCGAGGCCATGGCCCATGATCGCAGTATGACCGCTCGCGAACGGCCCAGGCGGTTCTCTAGATGATTATTGAGACCGAGGATATATGCGCCAGCGCTTTGAATGGTCCTTCGAGATGGGAGAAGTCGATGTTCCCCGTTACCGGTATCTCGTGTCGAGCATTGTGCACAGACTGGGGTGCATTGCACGTGCGCCATGCGTGGGAATATTCAATCTGGGGAATTCGCAGCGTTTACTCCCGGAGAATGTTACAAGGGCAATCAACCGCATTTACGTCCAGGCGAAGCTCGCAATCGTGAAGCCGAACGCTCCGATTATAGACGGTCACGTCCCGCACGGATACCGGTATCGTCAATTTCCGACCGAACAGTAACGGAAACAGCCCGCGATTACTGCAACTGCAGCCAAAAGTAATCAGACGATTTGAGTTCTGTCACTTCACGACAGTTGCGGTCACAACCCGCTTTACCTCGGGCCATCAGGAGTTTCAACTTGAGATGAGATAGCCGTATCGATATGGTATGAGCGTCTCGGTACCGACGACGTTCATTGTTGACGGAAGGGGGGTGGTTATTTGTAAGTGGCTCAATTTGGTTCAGTCGCCAAGCCTCGATCCACCTCCATGCAGATTTGCCGCCGATTCCCGCTCAAACAGAAACACTCCTTCAAGAAAGCAAATAACCACCAGAACAGAACACCAAGGCCAACGGTTCAAGGTCTGTACATCCAAGAAGAAGCAACAGGCTTCACTTCTTTCTTTACCTCTTTCTTGTTCCAGCGCCGTCTTCAGCGTCGACGTCGCTCTACACCACTCGCTTCACGACTACACACAACGCGTCCGGTGATCAATCGTCAGGAGGAATTTATATCTATGTTGAGCACGCTCGTTACGTCGCTCCTCGCGGCAGCGTCCGTCTTGACCCGCGTTAACGCCGTCACCATCGACGCCTCTTCCCAATCATCCCTCACCAATGGCTCCTATCAGACCGTTAAGGGTATCATGAACTACTATCACGGAGACGAAATCGGAGAAACACCCGGTCTCTTCCCCGCTCCCGCATACTGGTGGGAATCTGGAGCAGCATGGAATACTCTCATCGAGTACTACGCTTACACCGGCGACGACACATGGAACAACCAGACAATGAAGTCGTTGTTGTTCCAGGTTGGTCCGGATGATGATTACATGCCCCTCAACCAGACCACGTCCGAAGGAAACGATGACCACGGGTTCTGGGGTATCGCAGCTATGTCAGCAGCCGAGAATAACTTCCCCAACCCAGCCTCCGACGAACCTCAATGGCTCGCCCTCGCACAGGCCGTATTCAACCGCATGGCTTCCCGCTGGGACGACGAGAACTGCAACGGTGGTCTCCGCTGGCAAATTTTCCAGTTCAACAACGGGTACAAATACAAGAACTCTATCTCTAACGGAGTGTTCTTCAACCTCGCCGCACGTCTCGCTCGTTATACCGGTAACCAGACCTACGCCGACTGGGCCCAAAAGACCTGGGATTGGACCGTCGACATCGGTTTGATCAACAAGACCGCCAACTGGGCCATCTACGATGGTGCCAACGTCCCCAACTGCTCGACCGATACCTTCGATACCATCCAATGGACCTACAACAACGGAATGTACCTCGGTGGAGCCGCATTCATGTACAACTACACCAATGGCAACTCCACCTGGAAATCCTACACCCAATCCCTCCTCGACTCCGCCGAGCTTTTCTTTTTCGTCAACTCGACAGTCCTGTACGAACCCGCCTGCGAACCCTCCCAAACCTGCGACTACGACCAAACGTCCTTCAAGGGGTATCTGTCCCAGCAGTTGAACTACGCCGCAAAGGTGGCGCCGTTCACCGCAAACCAAGTCCACACACTCCTCGCCTCCTCCGCCGAAGCAGCCGGTCTGTCTTGCTCCGGTGGCACAGATGGCATTACCTGCGGTAATCGCTGGTACGAATACACCTGGGACGGTGACTACGGTCTCGGTGAGCAAATCTCTGCCGCGGACGTAGTACTTGCTTCTCTTTCCCGATTCGCACCGCAGTACCCACTCACGGCTAATAATGGGGGGACGAGCGCGGGTGATCCGAGTGCGGGGACGAGTGATGATAGTAGTACGAGTGCGGCGACGAGTACGACTGCTAGTACGAAGGATAAGGCGTTGGGTGGGTTGTTGACTGTTGTTTTGAGTTTGGGGGTTCTTGCTGGTGGTGGGTGGTTGGCCATTTAAGAAGCGAGTTTAAGCTCGCTCGAGCCGGGAAGCCTGCTTGGTTATGGGAAGAGTGTGGGAAAGACATTGCAAATGAACAGTCAACTATATTGGCCCGGATCGGACGTTTTTTTCGCATAGCTCTATAGGTATCTTACACATGGGTGGTGCAACAGATGATTCTCCTTCCGTTGTTCTCGCATGCAATTTTGGTCATGGTCATTCTTGGATGTGGTTCTCGTACATTTCGGGCTTCGACTTGACTGTATTGGATGTCGTAATAGGGGATGTAGAAAGACCCTTAATCTCTGCACTCTACCCAATTGCCATGGATTAGGTCAACGTCAGGTAAGCATGCCGCACACACAGCAGTTGCCAGGCCGTGGGTAAGCTCAAGTGCAATTACCCGGCGGACATGTGAACGTGTATGCCCCGAAAATGACGTGAGATCGACACGCCTGAGAAAAGTAACACGCAACTCAGTATTCCCATAAAAGCACAATCTCCGACACCATGTCGCGGGCCGCCGGCGTTACCGTTTTCTAGTGCAGCAGCTCACGTAAAGGGCTGCTCCGTTCATGGATCTGGGCCAAAGAGCGTGTCAGCTCAACCTTATTGAGCCCCGAGCCCTGCATATGCCTCGCCTCGTACGTTGTCTTGCAATTGGCTGGATAGAGTTTACCTTAGCCACGGTCAAATCAACATTACATCGAAAATGCCTCAGTGAGATCAATGGAACAACCCGTGCGGGTACTTCCGGGAGATGTTCCCCGCACTTCCCCGATCGCCCGCGAAGCTTAAGTCCGAAGTTCTCCCGTGCGTGTCATGCGAGCTGGCGTGTGAGGCTTGCCCCCGAAGCTAGCCAGCTGCGCATCTGCAGAAGTGCTTTGCTCACGTCCATTACCTCACCTCCCGCGGAGCTTCCCACGATCGAACTGGACCGACCCGTGCGTTCACACGGGGTTTCGCGGGGATTGGCAATCGCACACCGGTATCGGAAGCATGCTTGCAACGTCTGAGTGCAGACCGTGTGTGTTCCTGGCGCGTGCATGGCAGAGTTGGGCGGCTTCGACTTCAGGCTGAAATGTGCGGTGTGGCGTTCCGACAGCTGCTGCAGATGCGCGTGTGGATAAGAAGGAGAAGCTGACGAAGCTGGAAGGGATTGGATGCCATTGTCGCTGAACGATGATGAGGTTTACAGTTGTGCGATTGACGTATCCATGACTCAGCTGCTGGCGCCGACCGCAGAATCTCCATCGAGACTGCTGGACTTTCGTACGCCAAGTCGTAGAATTGCATTGATCTTCAGGCCCTGCTGCTTCAAGTGGGTAAGACGCGTGCAAGTACCTGTAGACACTACTCCGGAGATGAAGGAATACGCATGAGACTTGGAGAAGGAATTTTAAGTCTCCTGAGACTTCGACGGCGGCCGCGGAGGGCCTGTCAATTCAAACTCGAGCTGCGGCCGGCAGGCAAATTAGTCAGCGCTCTCCCCGTGCCCGTGGTCAATTCACTCGTAAACGCAAGCAAAGAAGCGCAGAGCACACGAGCACAAGCCGTCGTACTCCTATCGATTAACCAGCTAAAATCAAGGTAGACTTTCCCTAGCTTTTAGTCCGTCCGGTTTTGTGTGCCATTTTCGGGGGATTCAGTCGCGCTAAAGGAGGCTTGAGTGCCGCACCGACACCGTTAGTGCACAAGGTCTACCTGGGAGAGGCACGAGCTGTATCTGGCCAGTTGCTGCTGTACTCCAGCCTGTATCGATCTGTTGTCGTTCAAGGAAGCAGTCGGACCTTTTCGATCTCGGACGGAGTTTTACACATTCGATCAGCACGACCAGCGTCAGCGGCTCACCTCCGAACTTTCTTCAACCTTAATTTTGACGCCGGGACAGCTGAGAGACCTCAAATCCGCACACCCTTGCGAAAAAGTCCGGAGGCACTCGCGCTCTGCTCCCGCCTCTTCCAATCTATTTGTGGGACTGAACCTTTGGCACGCAACTCATCCAGCTGCTGTCTTGCGTTTGACTTATAGTCAGCACCCTTGACCCGTGACGGCAAAAAGTGGTCGATCACACAAACGGCAGGCCTGAAGCGACACATTCCAAACTACGACCGGACTCTCAGCATCATCCTAGCGAGTTGAGAGCTTATTCTTGAATCGCGCGGAGGACTTGCAGAATTTCAGTGTTCCTCATTCTGTGAGCTTAACACCACGCACCGAACAGTCGGCACCAGCTGTACCCACTTTGTTTCAACTTGCGACTGCGGCCGCAATCGATCGAGAAGCAACACACATTCGGACGTCAACGGTTAAAGCTCGGTACTCGTGAAATCACGAGCTTCATTCCTAGCGTTTCGGCACTTGTACGTTCGACAACGAGCATTCAACTTTGCGACTCGACTTAAATCACACCCTTCACGCACACCGCGCACGAGCACGAAATCTAAGTTCGCCAACTCTTCAATTCAATTGCTTACACCCATCTCGTTAATCACAGTCATCAACAAGCAGTACAGGCAGAACCGACACTATCCATGTCCTTCAGCAGCAGTAACTTCGGATCCGGAGACGCCACATCCCCCTCCTCCTTCGCCAACCAACAACTCCCAAACCTATCAATCAACACCTCCGGCTCGTCACAAGTCACCGTATGCTCCCCTCACGACCAAATACTCGACCATACATATTTCCAAATGTCGCCGCAGGAAACAGGCGCTGGAATGAACATGAACAGTCGACCATCGCCAACGGCAACCTCGGGGATGCAAGGAGGAGCGACTGAAGAGGAAATGGCGATGGCGAAGGAAGATCCACTCGCGGCGCAGGTATGGAGGATGTACGCGAAAGCGAAAACGGCGTTACCGAATAGTGCACGAATGGAGAATTTGACGTGGAGGATGATGGCGATGAACCTCAGGAAGAAGAAAGAGGCGGAGGAGAGGGCGGGAAGGTATGCTTAGTTCGTTTCACGGCATGGGAATGCCTTTGGCTAATTGGACATTACAGAAGTGCGGAAGCATCCCGCAGAAACTCGATTGAGCACGCTACTGTTTCGGCGTCAATATCCTCCTCGTTCGGAAACAACTACACCAACAACGACCCAGACGCCATGTTTGTCGATGATCTTGTCAATATGTCACCCAGTGGTACCATGTCACCATTGGAGGAGAACCATTCGACAAGTCAGGCGATTCCAATCGGGGCGGGGTCTAGAGGAAGTTTACCCCCGTTGAAGGAGGGCGAGGTGTTGGAGCACACGCAGATGGAGACTGTCTCGCAGGGGAGGCCAGAGTATAGTTATTTGCATCATGCGTTGAAGGGGACGGATATGGATCCATCGAAACAGAACCGCAAACGCGCAGCAGATTTCTCGCCAAAGGTTGCTCCGGTTGCTCCGCTTGCGAGTATCACCATCCCCAATGATCCGGAGGTTGAGCCTACGGTCTACAACCTCGAGCCACCGGATGCACCACCATCCTTCCCTCTCCAGACATCACACCCAGGAAACTTCCCATACGGACTCGACCCACTCGCCATGGAAGGGCCGGAAGGAATTATCACACCGCATCCTGGCTCAATTCCCAGCCAAAACGCGTTCTCCTTCTCCAACTCTTTCCACCAACCCAGCAGTTTCCCGCAGATGTGTAACAGTCTCTCTTCATCCGTGCAGAGCGAACAGGTGTTTTCACCACCGGGCAGTCAGCCTACGAGTCGGGTTAGCACGCCGTATGCGATGCAGGAGACGGCGGATAGCATGTATTTCCCGAGTTATCCGCAGGACCACTCGGTTAGTTCATCGGTCAATATGCCGTTTGGGTCACACCATATGTCGGGGTCTTTCATGCCGGGGAGTGCCCAGTCTGGTTTCGATATGAACATGGTGTTTTCGCCTCAGGATAATGAGGTGTATATCCCTGGTGATGGCGGCGCGAGTGCACCGACCAGTCTGCCAACGAGTCAGTACGGAAGTCCGATCGCGGAGTTTCCGCAGCATGTCAACCCGCGTCAAGTATTGACGGGGGGATTTGGTGGTGCACCGCATAGGAATGTCACGTTTGGGTTTGGCGATGAGGAGGAGAACGATGATGGTTCAGGCGCGAGAGGAAGGGGATCGAGGAGTAGCAGTGGTACCACCACGCCGAACCAGCAGTATGGTGATTTTCAGTTCAACGTACCGAAGAAACCGGAGTCTCAGCCGATGGCACAGCCGATGGTTAACCCCAGGTTTGGCACCGCGATGGGAATCGATACTTCGAGATCTTCGTCGTTTAGTGCGAGTTATGGACGGTCACCGACGGTATCGTCGTTCGCGGCAATGCACACGCAACCCAACCCAACGAGAAAAGTCACGATTGCCGCACCGGATGATATGCGTCCCATGCCTACCACGGCACCACACAGGCGTACGGGATCCATCTCGGCTGGAGCTGGACGGAGTCGTAAGGCGGCCATCCAGCGAACGAACTCGACGCCCAACACGATGGCGATGGCGAAGGAGGCTATGAGTGCCGCTGCGAAACGGGCACAGTCGAACCCGTGTTCGCCGCCTGAGGTGCATCGGTCCTTACCCCCTGGCACTGCTAGCGGAACGGGTTCTGCGGGAGCATCGAGTCAGGGTGCGTCGCCGGCGAGTGCGAGTGACAAGAACACGCCGCCAGCTGATACGAAAGCTGAGAAGGCTGGCAAGTCGCAGAATGGCGTCACGAGTTGTACGAACTGTGGGACGACTACTACTCCGTTATGGAGAAGGAACCCCGAGGGACAGCCGTTGTGTAATGCCTGTGGTTTGTTCTTGAAGTTGCATGGCGTCGTGCGTCCGCTATCACTGAAGACGGATGTCATCAAGAAGCGTAACAGAGGAAACCCCTCCAGCTCTAACACGGCTGCACCGCAGTCCGGTTCTGGTCCAGTTGCTGTACCTGGTGCTGGTGCTGGCTCGCGAGCCGCGAAGAAGCCCATTTCCAGGAAGAACTCCGCGGGAAGCATTACCGGGAATCTTGCGCAATCCCTCAAGATGACGAGTTTGAGTAGTTCTCCTGCACTGTCGATGTCAATGGGCCAGTCCAACACCGCAGCAATCGCAATCCCCGCAAGTACCTCACCAGATGACAACGTCTCCATGCCGACCTCCCTTCCCGGCAGTTTCGGTGCCCACCACACTAACTCCTTCATTGGTTCATACCAGAGTCAACATCACCACATGCCACCTCAGTCTCAACCGCAGTCGCTCCAGCATACGCCAACACCGACGCCAACACCGACCCCCGCTCAATACGTCGTGCATAAACGCCAGCGAACGGATCAGACGAGGGAAGAGGCAATGCACGGCACCGAAATGGAAATGGCGGATGACAATGGTGCGCAGTTTGCGTCTATGAGTATGCCGAACTCGATGCCTGCGAATATGGGGGCGATGCATATGCCTGGTGGTCAAGGCCATGGTGCTGGTGCTGGTGGTCCGGGGGCGGATGAATGGGAGTGGTTGACGATGGTGATGTGAAGTCGTCGTCGACCGTTTTTGTGATTTTCCTGGCTACATATCATTACGCACCTGGGCCAGTTTTGTTTCTTTTTGTTTTCTTGCTGCAATCGGAGGATGGGTCTGTGTTTTACATTTAATGGGCCGGGAGTTTGTTTTCGCAAGCGGGGTGCGATGGTAGATGGGGTTTTTGGAGATTGGAGAAGTTGGTATTGGCATAGACGATATTGATACGTACGCGTTGTGTTTTTCTTACATCCTATTTCTTTGCAGCTGTTTAAGTTTTTACCCATATATCATTTTCGAACGATGTTTGCGAATATTACTATTCTAACTCAACTTCTCGAGTGCTTCAGAGGCCAAGATCCTTCTTGACCATCTCTCTACAGATTGGGTGATAGAAGTCCTTGAATCGCTCGAAAGTCTTCACAGCCAACTCCTTATCCGACTCCCTCAACAAGCGATACGTGGGCCTCACGAATTTCATCCTACCCACCGTTCCGAGCCAGTCAGCGACCTCCTTATAGACGTCAGACCACTTGCTTTTCAGGGCGACGGCGTAGTAGCGAGAGAGGACTTCTGCGTTGTGAGAGGAGCGGAGGTCATATGCCGCAGCGAGCTTCTCGACTTTGGAGTTGGAGAGGGGCGTGGACAGCGCACCCAACTTGTCGAGGAAGAGGACAAGTTGGCCGGGGAGCCAGTCCTTGATGTCGTCCTTCGAGAACGACGTCGAGTCGTCCGCCTCCTCCCACTTCTTGGTCAGTGCGTAGCACTTCTGCGCCAACGTAGTGTCAAAATTGGGATCAACCTTTGCCAAGCCCTGCGCGTAAAACCAGTCTTCCCAATCGATCTCTTTCGCCAATTTCTCGCTCACCTCTTCGCCTCCGTTGGTCTTGACCCAGTTTTCGAGGAATGAGCGGAAGGTGAAGGAGTCGATGGTTTTGAGTCTGTATTCTGCGAAATAGGCTTTCGTGAATTCATCCATCAAGTCCATACCGATCGTTTTCTCGATGTGGTAGAGGAGGGCGAAGCCCTTCTCGTAGGGCACGCTGGAGAAGGCATCATCTGGGTCTTTGCAACCCGTCAAGTCCGGGATGAGGCGAGTATACTCCATATGCCCCTGCTCCTTGAACTCATCCACCGAATCAACCAACGCCTGGTATCCAATAAGTGCGGAGAACTGTCTGGCCTCCTCCCCATGCATCCCCCTCAAAATCATCCTCTCAAGGTACACCGTCCACCCCTCATTCAACCAAAAATGCTCCCAACTAACATTCGTAACCAAATTCCCACTCCACGAATGCGCCAACTCGTGCGCGACAACGTCGACATTACTCCTGTCACCGCTCACCAATGTCGGGGTCGCGAATGTCATATTGGGGTTTTCCATGCCGCCGTAGGGGAATGAAGGGGGGAGGATGAGGATGTCGTAGGTTTGCCAGGCGTAGTTGGACACGGTTGATTCGGCGGTGCGGATGAATTCTTCTGTGTCGTGTTCGAATTCCCATTTTGAGGCGAGGAGTTCTTTGGGTTCGGTCCAGAGCGTCGAGCGGGGGCCGATACGGGCGGAGGCTAGGTCGCCGGATGCGAGGGCGACGAGGTAGGATGGGATTGGGAGGGGTTGTTCGAAGTTGTACTCAGTCAATCCAGTATCGCGGTCGTAGGAGGTTGAGGTGCGGAGAGCGGACATGACGACCGGCAATGGAGACCGAACGCGTGCGGTGTAGGGCGCCTTGACTGAGGGCGTATCTTGGCACGGGAAGAGGGATCGTGCGTGGATTGCTTGACATTGGGAGAAGAGGTAGGGATGTTGCTTGCCGGATGTCTGAGCTGGGGGAAGCCATTGCAGCGCGGTACAATTTGATGTAGTGGAGAATTTGATCGAGACATGCACCGTCGTGTTTACCATCCGTGTACGCAACACGTGTGGAATGTGGAGCGCTGAACCGAGGGTGTTGCGTTCGTCCAAAGTGAAGTCATCGACGTCCTCTTCGCCGATACGGATGGAGTGGATATCCAGATACGACGTATCCAAGACAATCTCAGTAACGTTAACATGGGTGGGTTTGAGTGCCAACTCGACGGTTCCGGTAACGATCTTCTTGCCAAAGTCGACGGTGAGGTCGAGGTCGAACTTTGTGGTTCGCCAATCGGAGAGGTTGGAAAGGGAGGAGGGGTCGGTAGCTGTAGGGTCTGTCAGCCAAATTCCAGTATGGAGGATGCGGATCCTACCTTTAGTGACGATCATTAGAAGCTTTGAAGGGTCGACGGATCAGAGGTGGTGGTGAGGTTGCGTGCGCTATCGATAGCCGCACGTGACCACCCCGCACCCCGCAATGCCGTTGCCTGACGACCTTGTGAGATTTCCCACGATGGGTTCCTGCCTTGCCCCAGCCGAGTCACATGCCCCAACACACAAAGACCTCTCCCTCCCCTTTCTTCAAGTAACGAACAGCATACATCCACATACAATATGCCTCCAGGCCTGCCTACAGGAGAGCGCGATACTCTCCCCTTCATTCAGTATCTGTTGCACCGTCTCCGTGACGACCTCCACATCAACTCAATCTTCGGTGTCCCGGGTGACTTCAATCTGCCTGCGTTGGATTATGTCGAGGACTTTCCGGGTATGAAATGGATCGGAGCGGTTAATGAGTTAAATGGGGGTTATGCCGCGGATGGTTACGCACGTGTTAAAGGAGCTGGTGTACGTCTCTCTTCCTCTCCGTCTATAACACCTGAATAAATGCTAATGGAAGAGTGTAGGCCTTGGTTACCACTTTCGGAGTCGGCGAACTATCCGCGATGAACGCCCACGCAGGAGCCTACGCCGAACAAATCCCCCTCATCCACCTGGTGGGGCTCCCCTCCACATCCCAACTCTCCTCCTCTGAAATCCTCCACCACTCCCTCGGCCACCCCCACCAGACCCTCCTATACTCCTCCTTCTTTAAGGAGATTTCGGGGAGTATGCTGGTAGTGTCTGAGACTACGAGGGCGGAAGAGATTGATAGGGCGTTAGAGATTGGTGTTCGCAGGTGTTTACCGGTGTATATCGCCTTACCACAGGATCTTGTCGAGATGCCTCTCAAGAAGGAGGGTTTGAGCAGGCCGTTGGTTAAGGATATCGACAACCTCTCCGCTGCCGAAATGCGTGTGATCTCCGAGGTCCTCGGTCTTCTCTCCTCCTGCTCCAAACCGATTATCATTGCAGACGCCGGTGCCTCCCGCGATAACATCAGTGCCGAAGTTTCCAACCTAATTTCCTCCCTCCCAACCTGGCCCCTCTTCGTCTCCGCCATGGGGAAGGGGTCAGTCAACGAACAACATCCCTCCTTCGCCGGAACATACATGGGAACGCTTTCCCTCCCTCCCGTCCGCACGGCGGTCGAGGCTGCGGATTTCGTGTTGTCCATTGGGGCTCTTGCGTCGGATTTTAACACTGGGTTTGGGAGTATGGATTTTGAGGGGAAGGTCGTGGTGGAATTGCATGCGACTTGGACGAGTGTCGATGGCTCCACCTTCCCAGGCGTGGGTATGAAATCCCTTCTCCCACGTCTCGCCTCCTCCCTCTCCCCCATCACCTCCTCCGCACCAATCCCACCCTCCCCCTCCCTATCCCTCCCACTCCCCACCATCCGTCCCGCTTCCGACAAGTTCGTCAGGCATGCATACTTCTGGCCTCGTGTCGAGAAGTGGTTGAGAGAAGACGATGTGTTGTGCGTGGAAGCTGGTACATCGAGTTTTGGAGCGGCGGATGTAAGGTTGCCGAGGGGAGCGACGATGTTGTCTCAGTGGCTCTGGGCGAGTATTGGGTTCAGTGTTGGGGCGACGGTTGGGGCTGCTGTTGCTGCTGCTGAAGGGTTCCAGGAGAATACCAAGAAGAGAAAGGCCGAGGAGGAGGAGACGGTCGCTTCTAATGGCGACGGCGCGGATGAGAATGGTGGTGACGGTGAAGCGAAAGGGAGAAGGAGGGTGATCTGCGTCGTCGGCGATGGTGCGTTGCAGATGGGTATCCAAGAAATCTCAAACTTGGTCCGGTACAACCTCGGCGCAACAATCTTCGTCGTCGATAACCGCGGCTACACAGTCGAGAAGTACATCCGTGGTATCACGCGTGAGTATAACGCTATCAACACCGGGTGGGACTACTCTTCAACGCTTTCCTACTTTGGTTCTGCCTCTTCTTCCTCCCCTGATTCCTCCGCTTCGTCTGTGTCGACCCATGTACTCAACACCGAGTCCGAATTCGACGAGTTCCTCACGACGGAAGCCAATGCGGACCCCGGGAATTTGAGGTTCGTGATCGTGAGATTCGAGGATTTGGATGCGCCGAGGATGTTGAAGATGATGGCGGGGAAGATGGGGAGGATGGATGAGAAGGGAAATTTGGTTGAGGGTGGAGGTGGCTTGGGAGGGTTGAGAAGGGGGAGTAGGGTTGTTTGAGATGCACGGGGGGTATATTGACAGGACTATGAGAAGGTTGGGTTTGGATTCGGGTTTTATACTGGTTGGTGGCGGTGGGGCTATAGTTCATGTACTTGCTTTGTCTTTATTAATCAGTAATTGCAATTTCTCTCACATTCGAAGTGTGGATCCCAGGCAGATAGATACCCGTGAGAAAAACTAGGCTAGCCCTTGCATGCGCGAGGACCCCACCACCCTGCTGCTCTCACCGGCCCTTCACCTCCATCTCCACCTTACCAGACAATCACGGAACTCAGAGCTCATTCGCTTTTCTCATTGCTCATTCTTTTCTGTTTGTGAAGTACTGATCTAAGCTTTTTTGGCTGGTGATACCTGAAGTCGACGGCGGCATTTATTACCCTCGCTACCTCGATGGCTTCGAACACAAGGCTCGATATTGATGTACCTCTAACTCCCAGTATAGAGATTGAGATTCAGAGCTTAGTCGACAGTTTAGTCGATGACAGAATGCCGGAACTGGGTCAAGGGTCGTCAACCGCTTCCAGTTACGAGAGTGTGTTGAGCCCGTCGGATGTTGGAGTCAGTCCGATTATCGGTGATATCTTCCCTCTGAAGACCCCGAATACGGCTTATTTTGAACTTCGTGAGTTTCAGTAGAGCATTTCATGGGATGTATGCTGACTGAATGCTAGCTGAGAGTCCTGCGGACCACAGGTTCCCGGTCATCCTGGCGAACATCGCTCGTTCAGCTCCTACAACTCCTCGACGCACAATGATACGCCCAGAATTAAGTGTTCTGACTGCACCGAGGAATCCCCAGCGCCCTTTGCTGCGTCGCATTGTTAGCCCGACGATGGCGGCGAGCGTTGACACGGATGAAATCATTCCTTTCGAACCGCGCAGGCTGAACAACCCTGCGTGTGCGAGCAGCTCTGGAAGTCCTTTGACACAGCCTGCACCATTGCCAAGCTTTGTGTCCGAGGGTCTGAGGGAACCACATGAGACGTCGTTGGAATCACTTCTGAGGTTTGAATGGATGAAGCCCCTCCCGCCTTCGAGCAAATACTCCACTCCAGATTCGTCTCCGAGATCAACACGCTCCATCCACATACCAATGCACGGACCACCAAATATCCCTCCCGTTCGCCCACCCCATTTTGCGTGCCTTGCCCCGGTCAAGGCAATGCCGCCTCACGGAAGTTACGAATCTGTCAGCGCTGAGCTCAGTGAAATGAGGAACATGCGTGAGATGGTGTATGCTGCTCAGACGACGTTGGAGGACGTTACGGTCAAGCACAAAATGTGTGGTCCTTGTCTTACTGCGTTCAGGCGGGTTGAAGGTGAGGCTTTGGGCTGTTCGTGTTGCGGAAAGGTATGACTCTGTTACCTTGATCTTCCTTGGGATACTGACGGGGCATACAGAAAACCCTATCTCGACTGGTGGACGTCAGTACGAGGGTCGTCCCGGAGAGCAAGCAGATTCAGGTGATGCCCCGCCTCGGTATCAACAAGCCTGCTTTTGCAGCGGCCTCACCTCCGGTTTCTCCCATGAAGCCGGTAAGGCCCAGTCTTGGGCTTCGCCATTTCTCGAGTGACCCTGAGATCAAGAGATTATGGTCCGGAGAAGCCCATCAAAGCGGGTTCGACCAAGGGAAGGAGGACTGGGGCAGGCAAGACTTCCAGAAGGCATCATTCAGGGCGCTGCCCAGTCTTCCTCATCTCACGATTCCATCTACGCAGACAAAGCCTGCTTCCGGAGAGGACAGTCTTTTTAGCCCGGTGCCGGCTCGCCCTCCCAAAGCGAGTCTTTTCCCGGAACGAAGGTCATCTTTATCACTGAGCGTTACATTTACTCCTTCTCCACCGCCAGCTGTCTATCCCGGAGATGTACCAACCATCGCCTCGGTAACAACGACCAAGGACAGATATGGCCTTTTCATGCCGCTCGTCAACGCTGCTCATCCGCCGAACTGGGCCGTTGTCAAGATGAGTATCCTTAGGAGCCGTTGCGGGTGCTCCTGGACACTGCATCACACCCGCTGACGTCCATGCTTGGCTCGGAACCCAGGCTCACACATCTATTATTCCTTATACGCACTATGGCACTCCCATTCACATCCTCCGCCACCCTCATGCTCTTTCCGCCGCATTCAAGGTCTCGGATACCATCTATCTGGAGTTCGTCCATCATCAGGCTGCAGCTGTCTATGCCTCGATTTCTAACGGACAGACGATAATGGGGAACCAGGTTCTTGTCAGTGTTTGCTCTCAGGCGGAATTGATGCATGCAGTATTCCCACAATGGGATGGGACTTTCGGGGAGGGAGGTAACTTGTACTTGCCACCTCAGATGCCAGTCGATGGGATTAGCAAGAAAAGGCGCACTGAGGACGGTGGTGTTCAGAGGAAGTTGATAACGAGGGAGGAGTTGGATAGTATCCTTGCGGCGTGTCGTGCGAAGAAAGATTGGGTGAGGACTGCTTATCGTACTGTCGATGAAAGGGGGGCTGACTCATAGTGATACAGCAACGTCCTGGCCCATATCGACCTAACCGACCGTACGACCATCTCATCAGCGTCCTCACGAAATTCCCCTGGCACGCTGGTCTTCACTATTCCGTCGAAGAACGCGACGCCCTCTTCAAGACAACCCGAGAAGCACTCCGCTCCCTACGCCACCAGATTAACAAATACGTTTTCCCGGAACAGTTGAATGTTGCGTTGCAGACGAGGTTGTTGAGAGCGGGGTTGTTGGTACCGTGCTTTACGGATAAGCAGAAGATGCAGTTGCAGGCTACGAGTCATTTGGCATATGTGAATCTTATCCAAGTATATCCTTTGGCAGTGAACTGAGTAAGAATTCACAGCCTGAAGATTTGCTTCCATCTGTGCGGATGCAGCCGTGTTTTGGCTATGCATGTTCGACCGTTGCGTCGCCGGCGTTTATCTCTCTGGTTCAGGTGCGTAAGGAATCGAGATGAGAGGAAACTCTGCTAACTCACGCACAGCGTATCGAACATCATCTTATCCCTACACCTATTGAAGATTCGCAGATTGCTGCTACCCCTGTCACCTCAACTCCTCCCGCGATCCTCAAGGCTCGGATGTCCGCTGCTGCAGCTCAGCTGACGGCTTACTCTGCCGAGCCTGCTCCCCGAGTCTCGGAAACGTATGCAAACGTTATGTCGGTGGTGCATGGCGAGCCTGGCGAGACGTCGGTTATGGGTCTCACAGGCCCAGTATATGGAAGTACGACGCGAGGACCGAAGAGCATGTCTATGATTGCTGCGGCACACTTGGAGATCGAGACGATTGAGTGTTCTATTGCAGCCTTGGTTGCCATGCATAACAAGGCATGATACACTATGATACACTGGGCGTTTGGAGTATTCTTACTGTTTATTCTGGTCTGTTTTCTTTTTCTCGCGCTCGCTTTATTTAGTCCTTGCGCATTTAATCCAACTCCTATTTTTACCCTGCAGCTTGCGTGGCTAGGTGCATCTTCATCAAAATCAGTCCGGCAACGCCACGAAGAGAATCGTCGTCCACATCGCCAGTCAGCAAATATGGGTAAGTGCTGTCATTTCGTGTTGCTTGAGGGGCGGGCTCGTCAGTACTCGTCAATTCGTCTCGGTTTGTGCGGTTTTATGGGTGGCTTCGGCGGTGGAAGAGGATGGATGGGTGGATGTGTCTGGGTGGTCCTGGGGGCGTGGCGATGGTACCAGGAGACGAGGATGTTGAAGAGCGGAGATTGGGATGAGGAACGAGGTGTGAAGGAGTTATTTGCGACGAAGGGGAGGACGATTCGGCATCAGCGACCTGGAAAACCGTAATCAACCCTCGACCACCGATTGCCGAGTACTGCCCAACCTGCCTTTCAAGCACACGAACCTCGAATACACGTTCGAAATACTAATCTTATGTACAGGAAAGGTTCACGGATCTCTCGCTCGTGCCGGTAAGGTTAAGTCTCAGTGCCCCAAGGTTGAGAAGCAGGAGAAGAAGAAGACCCCCAAGGGCCGCGCCTACAAGCGTATGGTCTACAACCGTCGCTTCGTCAACGTCACTCTTACTGGTGGTAAGAGGAGGGTATGTTACACCACATCTTCTCTCTCTCAAGAACAGTGCTGAATGAATCTGTCTAGATGAACCCCGCTCCCGCTTCCGCTTAAATCGACACTTCAACTCAATAATGCATGGGATTGATTGTCAGATAGAAGTTCGGAGTCAGCAGGGAAAGGGAGAAAGTCGATTGCACGGAGTTTTGGGTCTTTGATTCTCTTTGTTGGAATGCGAATTCATTACGTCTTATAACACTGAGGACGATCTTGATTTCCGATCGCGTGATTCGCAAATGCAATTGTACGATCCGAAGCATGGAGCTGAGTTTTTACCTTCTCATCAAAATACGACGGCGTTTGTGCTTTTCGGGACCGAAAAATGGTTGCTGTGCTGTGCTGTTCGTGGTTGTGATTGTGATCTATGTGTGTCTGGTTGTGTGGAAGGCTCCAGCGATGTTGCGACTCGGACGACATTCTGCCATGGCCCTGATACGAATATCGACACCATGGCGTCTATCGGAGTTGCGATATGTGCGAACACCGACAATCTCGGCGAATTCCTTTTACCAAACAAATACACACCCGGACGACTTTGTAGATCTCATAGGTGGATTCCCGGGTAGTCAATACGCACCGCCTATGTTACTGACTGGATCATTTGACAAGAAACTAGCAATTGCCTTCTCCTGGGTATCCATTCTGCTCCTAACCTTCACAAACTCCTCAACCACCTATCGTACAGTTCAAACCCCATCAACCTTCTCAATGATTATGCCACTCCTCCTTAATCCCATTGAAGACCCCATTCGCAGCATCAGCTCCGAGCGTTGCACCGAATCCCCTACACATCCAATTAGCCACCATCCTACCTCTCGCGATCACCACTCCCGGTAACTCAAGACTTACCACACAGCCGCATTCATGAGCGCTTTCCCAACCCCACCAGCCTTCTGCCCAAGATGGTGATGGTGCTTCTCTTGCGGCTGCTGTTGTTGTATGGGTGCTTGCATTTGTTGTGGGACCTGGCCGTAGCCTGGGTACTGTTGGCCCTGCTGGTAGTATTGCTGGTTCATCTTGGTTGCGATTGATCTGTGGTTTAAAAACTGGGAAGGGTGCGATTGGTGGAGTACTTGTAGACGACGGTAAGCTTTCTGGAGCGAGGACTTGGTCCGCGGGGACAGACACGGTATACTTGCGTACAATGACGTCGAAGCGTAAAGTTAGTCGGCAAAATTGGACTTGTATGAGTCTCGAGTTATCAAAGTGATTGGATTCGAAATTGAGCAACGAGAATAGGGACAGCTTGTCTTCCAGGCCATTCTGCGCCCAGCTGCTCCATTCCTTCCAAGTTTTATCGCCCGCGGCTGGTCAATTGCATTTTTCTCACACCTCACGCCTGGAAAGTGATCTGCCCGCTCCTCTCACCTCCCTCAACAACTTCAACATCCTCGGTCGCATTCCTGAAATACTCCATCGGCAAAAACCCAATATACGAAACATTCCCAAACCCACCTGTGTTCATCTGTCAGCCTGCGTGTGTCTTCTTGTAAGGTTAATTGGGGGGTTCGACTCACCGAAAAAGTAAATCTTCTCAATCTCAAACGTATACCACTTCCCAAAATGCACACCCGCGCTCGGAATCCACTCAACCGCATCAGGATGTGCGTCCAGGAAGCAGGATTCGATACGTTTGTTTTCGGAGGGTGTGGTGATTTCGGTGATGTTACCAAAGAGGTTCCTGTGAAAATGTTATCAATCAATGACCTTCAGAAACAACAAAATCACATACATTCTGGGACCAGCAGCGAGGGAGTAGACAGGGTGCTGCGGGTGTTCACGGATGGAGAGGGTGAGGGAGGAGCCGTGAGCCCAGTTTCGGTAGCTGTGTTTCCCCGTGTCAGATTTGCGCAACAAAACAGCATGGGAGAGAACACATACGCTGGCTCGAGGTTCATGATCAACAAACTCGGGTTTCCGTCACCATCGCAGTCCGCGATATACGTCTGTCAACCCATCTCGTCAGCATCCCCCCGTATAGGTCGAAGCATTGATGAAGTGATATACCATGAGTCCCATCGGCGCACCCTCCAAAGTTTGGTTGACTTCGGGTTGCCATACCGACATCAAGTTCGCGAGACCTTCTTCGCGGACGAGACGGCGTGCGACGATGCCGGCTTCTTCGAGAGTTTGGCCATAGCCGAGGACGGCGGGGAGGGCGGCGAGGGTTGAGAGAAGCGCCAAGGCAGAGAAGCGCATGGTGATGGTGAACTGTAAGGAATGATAGGGGTATAGATGGAGATGGAGCGAAAGTGTCGCCGGTGGCTTTAGGCCTTGATATCGATGGAAGGCGTGCGTTATCGACAGAGATCCTGCGAGGTTATCGGGGGGCCAGATGTGATGACGTGGGTGCTTCAAAAGACATTTTACAGTAATTTTAAAGTTATAAAAAGAAGCTTTGTCGATTTTCCAACCCGCTCTCTCGAACTCCTCTAAACTCGGTATCACGTACCGACGTCGTCGTGCATCAACACACATCACCCGTTTGTCAACGTTACACTCCCTCTCCTCGCCACTTCTTCACAATGCCAAAAGAACGCACCCTAAACCCTGCCCTCGCAAAACACAAGGCAGACAAACAACGTCAAATTCGCGCCGGGAAAACCCAACAACGCAAAGCGCAGGATGAACGATACGCGAAACGGAATCCGGAGCGAATTCGGGCGCAGATAGCGGAATTGAAGGCGAGTTCGGAAGGAGCTGGACTGGGGACGGGAGATAGAAGAGTGCTGGAGGGGTTGGAGGGGGAGTTGAGGAAGATTGAAAGGGCGCGGACAGCGGCTGGGATCAGTACAGCGCCAGCTGGGGAACGGCTGGGTAGAGGGGAAGGCAGAGATGGCGAAAGAAGGGAAAGAGGACCGATCATCGAAAGCGATCGTACAAAAGAGCAGGACCGCAGCCGTCGAGAACGACAAGAACGCCGCGAACGCAACCCACCAAAACCACGGATCCCGAAAGATCCGAAGAAGTCGATATACTACGATCCGGTGTTTAATCCGTATGGTGTTCCGCCGCCTGGGATGCCGTACCGGGAGATTGGGCAGGAGGATAAACGAGAGCAGGAGGGTGGGGATGGGGAGTATAGCGATGCGGATAGTACGACGAGTTCCGTGCTTGCGATTCCTATGCCGCCGGGTACGCCGCCACGATTGTCGGATGAAGAAGTCAGCGACGACGAGGAGGTGGATATACCTATGCCTCAACAAAGAGAACCGAAGGAAGAGAAGAATAAGGAGGAAGTGGAAACAGGACCAGTACAAGCAGTGTATGAAGCTGCGCCGGTTCTTCGCGATCTGCAGAAGGAGACGATTGCGGCTGGATTTGTGCCTGCTGCTGTACGGCGGCACATGCCTGTTTCTAGACCGGCCGTTTCTCAAGTGCAAGCGGATGTGGTGGTGCGAGGAGGGCAAGGACTGGAGAAGAAGGGGGTGAATGCGGCGCCGGAGGTTGATGAGGAGTATGATGCGTTTATGAAGGAGATGAAGGGGTTGTTGTAGAGGACATTGAATCGAGTAACGTGTGATTGAAGGGGAAGAATCCGGAGGGAAGACGAAGAAGAGAGTCCCCGCACGGGTCGTGGAAGATGGCAATGAACGTGGGAAGACCCTTGTAGACTATGCGTATTAAGCAGCGAGTTTCGGAACCAAGCTCAAGCATAGATTGCATGCCAAGTCCTGTTCAAACGCTTGCGAGGATGCCATCCGCTATGCTCGTCATCCTCGAGAGTCAACGGCCCCTTCCCGTTGCTCGAAGCTTCAAGCCAAGAATGGCCAAGGCGTGAGTTTAATTCTTGGAGGTGATCGGCTGTTTACACTCGCATCATCGACATGCAGTGGTCATCCCGGGTCCCGGCCAGCGTCTGTGCTCATGAATGCTCTCCCTCCTCGACCCCCTATCCAACCCCTTCAACAACAAACAAGATCTAGAAGCTGAGCCCCTTCGTAAATCTCTGCAATGATGCTCTTCTCTTCGCTCGTGGCTTGGCATAGTTTCATGACGGCAATCGGACTCGCGCGCCCCGAAGCCTCTGCCGTCACCGAGTCTCACCAGACAAATAAAGGTAAATCTCGGAGGACCAGCCCATCCAACAACCAACGACCCTTCAACGACCGACAAGACAACCAGCATACACTCCCACAGTTCGCTTTCCAACGACGGTCGTTTTTCATTAGAACGTTACACAGGGAGCAATGAGGATCACCTCGATTTCCTCGTTCATTTTGGCCGTGTGGCTCGCGCTCCTCGCGTTCGTTTCGGCAGAGTCGGATACGGGGGAGAATTATGGGTACTCCGTTATCAGAACTGAGCGATTTGGATCGTGCAGCGAGAACTCCATTCTCGACGCGAGCCAGTTCTCGGCGGCGTATTATGAACACAATTTGTCCATCATCTTCGATATTAAGGGTCATTCGTTGACGACGACACAGTATGTCACTGCTTCGATCGACGTGTTTGCTTATGGCGAGACTCGATGGAATATTTCGTTCGATCCGTGTAGGGTCAACATCGACGGCCTGTGCCCGTTGAGTACGGAGGAGTTTGATGCGTTTGGTCTCTTGCCGATCACGCCCAGCATGGCGAAACAGATCCCCACTATCGCCTTCCATATCCCGGACTTCGATGGACAAGTCACGATCAAGCTTTACAATAACGAGACAAACGAGGAGGTTGCGTGTCTCACCTCTACGCTTTCGAATGGACAGACGTTTAAGCATGGGTATATCTCGTGGATTACGGGTATATTGGCCGTGGTGGCGTGTTTGTCGTCATTCTACAGTGTTGTTGCAGAGGCGAGTAGACCGTTGGATGCACAAGCCGCTGCAGCACATTCCTCACCTTCGGCATTCACCGTCTTCTCATTCTTCCAGTTCATCGCGTTCTCGGGCGCAGTCTCCGTGGTTTATCCCGTTATCTTCGAATCCTGGGCCTCGAACTTTGCGTGGTCCGCTGGAATCATCCCAGCTTCTGGAATTGAATCCGCAGTCCAACGGTTCCGTAACGGCACGAACGGCAATTATGAGGGGGTATACACGGGTGGTGTCGCCAAACGTGCGATTTACGGACAGGAAATCGAGCCAGGCATGCCCACGCCCGGACACTACAAGGGCATGCAAGGTCTCGCTACACGTATTGGAACTACGACTACGGATCTGTTCATGATTGCGTTTATTTGGTTTTTGGTTGTTGTTGCTGGTGTCATTGTCTTTGTTGTTGCCTTCAAGGTGATTATGGAGGTTCTTGCGAAGATGAAGATCGTTAAGGCGAGGAGGTTGTCGGCGTTTAGGCAGAATTGGTTGTTGTTCCTGGGTGTGACAGTGTTGAGGTTGATGCTGATTGCCTTCTTTGCGATGGTCACATTGTCGATTTATCAGCTCACTCTTCCGGATGCTTTCGGGCCCAAGATCATTGCTGGTCTCGTGTTGGGTATTTTTATCATTACGCTGTTCTTTGCGGCGTTCCATATCATCCAGATTGCATTTACAAGACGGAACAAGGAGTTGGGTGGACGCGTGGGACACCCGCTGTACGACGATGAACGTACGTTGAAAAGGTGGGGATGGATGTACGTCCAGTTCAAGCACCAGTACTGGTGGTTCTTCATGGTATTCTTCACGATTGAGTTCTTCCAGGCTCTCGTGTTGGGGCTCGCTCAGGGACATTCTCTCGCTCAAGCTTTGGTGTTGATGTTACTCGAGCTCGTCTTGCTCGTGCTCACGGTCTTTTGGAGGCCGTATGCCGGTCGTCGCGCAAACGCTATCGCGATCTTGATTGCGCTCGTCAGGACGGTTTGTTTGATCATCATCTTCATCTTTGTCGATAACTTCAACTTCGCCTCTATCCCGCGTACCGTCCTCGGTATCGTCCTCATCGTCATCCAAGCCATCACGATGATCATCTTTGTCACCTTCATCGTTATCAACGTCTTTTTCGCCATCATCGCGTCCTTGCCGGAGGATAAGGTTCCGGCCAGGTTCAGGAATAGGCATCACAAGTATCGTGAGAGGGTGTTTACGCATGAGACGGATGCGAGGATGAGCACAAGTGTTATCCCGCCCGAGGGATTGCCCCAGGGGGCTCCGGCCAGTGCGTATGGTGTTCGTCGTGGACCTTTGGATGGTGAGGATGTGGGATCTGAGGAGACGTTGTACGCACCTAAGCCGACGTACGCCTACGCATCCCAATCCAACGTCTCGTCCGGTACCGGGATTTCTTCCGGACAATCTAGTACCGCGGACTTGAACAAGATGCCCGTCACTTTCGCGCCCTCGCAATCACTCGCGACCAACCAGAACTCGAGGCCTACCACTGGGCATAGCTATGCTCCTAGTACACGTGCACCGAGTGTTGCCTACTCTGCCGGTGGTGATAGCAACTTGGCTGCTGCCGCTGCTGGGGCTGCCTTGAGGAGTACGACACCTTCAAGGATGGCTGGTGCCGGTACGAGTGTGAGGACGAGTCCGAGTATGGAGCAGTTTAGGAGTGAGAGGGGACATTGGCGTGGGGAGTCTGTTGATCGGTTTTAGAGAAGAAAGAGGAATGGGCAAATAGAGCCTTCAAGAACGAGCGTACGATAGGAGACAGAAAGAGCGAAAGAGAGAAGGTTTGGATGTTCATGCTATTTATATTTTGGGTATAATTATTGGGTTACACTTGGCACAAGGATATGTTTAATGCGGTGTTCATGAGGGAACTTGTTCGGCATGGGACTTGCAATTGCAGTTATTTAGCACTTTTATTGAATGCAGAGAGATTCGTTCGTCTGAACTATTTGAGCTATCCTAAGTGAATGTTGGTAATATCTGGGTATCCTTCGAAACATGCCAATCATAACAGCTGCTTCACTCAATCGAGAACGTCGCCTCGGCCCCACCCATTCCCCCACCAAGGACCATTCCTCCCCTCCCGAAAACCAATCCAAGAACATCAACCCCACTCTCACTAAACTCCCGTCTCACCCACCACGGACTTGCTCCACTACTCCTCCCCTTGACCCCCAAACAAAATCCTTCCAACACAAAGCGATGCGGAGTCCAAGCTGACTCGGTGGGGTATGATGGCCAGGGGGTGCCAGAGTAGACGTGGTCGGTAATGGGGGGGAGAGGGGTTAGGGACAGGGTGTTGAAGATGTTTGGGGTGGTAAACTGTGTGGCACATTGTTAGTCTTGTCTGTTGAGAGAAAGGGTGGGAAACGTACGTTGTAGTATGTAACTTTTTGGTGTTCGCAGTCGATCTCGATGGTTGGTGCATCTTCTTTCTTACCCAATCCCAACCCGCCTAGGAATCCGACGGGGCTTGTAGGGGCGACACGGGTGTCGACTTCGAGGGTTGCAATACAGCCGTTGATGAAGCGGAGTTCAGCAGTCACGGCATCAGCCAAAGTTCCATCCGCTGCATTCCGCCTCACTTCGGAGGTTGTGACGTCCGCGACTTCGGAACCGATGAGGAAGCGGAGGAGGGAGAGACATTGGTGGGTCATGGATGTTGCGTCTATTCCGTCTGTCGCGGTCCATTTGATGGTGGCACGGACTGGGGTCCCGGCTTTTTGGACGAGTTCGCGGGCGCGGTGGGTTGCGGGGTGTGCCAATACCCACAGATCCTCGAGAATCAATACCCCCTTTCCACCTTCCTCTAACTGTTTCTCGGCGGCCCTTGAGTAGATTTCTTGTGCTTCTTCACCGGACACGGAGATGGGTCCTTCACAAAGGACTGGCATTTCTTTCCTGATACATTGGAGGATGATGGCGTGGCGTTGAGGGAAAGGGAGAGCGATGTATACGGCGTCAATATGAAGGGAGCGGATGAGATGGGCGTAGGTATCGTAGGTACGGGGGATTGAGTGGGTCTTTCCGAGTCGTTGGGTTAGGGCGGGATCGGGGGTTGCGATTGCAGTGATTTTGAGGTCGGATTTTGTGCGGGCGGGGATGATGATGTGTTCGGGACTGTAAGCAACTTTTCAGCTTTTGTATTTCGATGTTGTAGAGGTGACGCACTCGAATGATTCATCGCATAAGATACCGATGCGTAAGGCATTATGAATTTTCGGAGCTTCGGCGTTGGGATTTGAAATGATGCGGTTGAGGAGGGAGTTGAATGTGTGGTTGATTGTTTGAGCCTGAATATGGATCAAAAATATGTTCAATACAAGCGATCTCTGACCCTGCTTACCATCGTTACCTGCCCTTCACAGATCCTGCTAAATAATCAACGTTGATTAATAAAGTGACGTCGCTTTTAGTACTGGAGAATCAGCAGCTGTCAAGACATCGTCAGCATCGCACGGCTAGAGACGCGAAGCAGAAGGAGATGTCTTTACCCTTGAGTTGGTCTGACTTGAAGATTGTCAGAATAAATCGGAGATGGATGTCACTTTTTGCGGGGAACGCAAGACGTCTGGGACCCTGCACCCGCTTGCAGTGAGGTGGTTCCGAGAGGCCTAGGCCGAATTAGCCGGCGTCGATGTCAAAGGTATGGTAATGTAATTGTCAACCTAGATAGTGGTTTGCGATTCTGCCATTGATTCTGGTCCCGACATCTCTCTTTACAGTACAATTGGTATCGTCGTAGTATTTCTCACGGTTCACGTTATCTGCTGTCGGAGATAACTTTAGAACGCTATGAGTTCGTCGTTTTGATATCACTTCCTTATTCTTGGTTGCCTGTCCGTCTCCTCCAATGTCTTCCTCACCTCCTCCAGATACGCCTTTGCGAACCAAGGCGGCACGGCGTTGCCAACTGCAAGATGTTCAGTATATTCTCGCCTTCAGAGATGTAACGGAGAGTACATACTCATTCGACCAATGCTACGATTCGATATCTCGGGAGGGAAGAGGTGATCGTCTGGGAAGGACTGTAAACGTGCTACTTCTCGCAGAGTGAACCGCCTCCCGTCTAAAGTCACATCCGTCAATTATTCTTGTGGCTCGTAGTCTGGAAAAGACAAACCTGGGTGCAGATTAGGCATACTGGTCATAACAGACCACGGGTACGGCTCGTCCCATGTCGGTAACATGTGAGCCTTGAACCCAATGTTGTCGAATACTTGGTTGACGTTAACAGAATGCCCATTCGTAGTAGTTATACCGGTCAATGCTTCTCGTAACGTCCTGGGTGGAAAAAGACGATCAACACCACCCACAGGCGAATGGGTTGGCGTGGAAAACGCAGGTAATTCCTGCCCTGGACAGCTACACAAAAGTAGCAACCGTTTCCGACCTTTCTGGGGGACCCCAAAATGCGCTGTGTTTAGGATCCTCCACGACGTAGAATACCCAGCATCAAGAAACATTCTCACTGCAGATCGCCAGTACTCCACACTGTTGCTGTAGGTTATCCCTGGCACTTCTTCGAGGGTGCATATGCGAGGTTTGACTTGGCGTATGAGCGGCTCAATTGCGAATAATGTTGCTTGGTTGGCGTCGTCGTTCTTGCCGGCCGTAGTATGTGCTGCGGAAAATGGTTGACATGGCGGCGATATATGACAGATATCAACCCTCCTGGACAGTGTCTCAACGACGGGGATAAAATTGTCAGCGGAGGCCTGTTACCAGGGAAGTGTTCAGTTAGCTAGCGCACCAAGCCGAAAGGGGTAGTTGTTAGTAACCCAAATAGCCTCACCACGTAACGGTGGTACCGCAAAATTCGCCCGAAATGTGCGAATGGCATCTTCATCAAAGTCGAAGCCATATGCCACGTCCAGGCCGGCCATCAGGGCTCCTCGGCTCACTCCGCCAGCTCCACAAAAGGCGTCTAATAACCGATATCGAGAGCCATTTATCCTTGGTCGGGTTTCCCGATCCAGGAAGTCGTCGCGAAGGACTTTGTCAGCGACGCAGTATCCGAAGCACCATTCAGGGACCTCGTCCTCCAAAAAGGTCCGCAGCCCACCTTCTCCCGAAGAGGTAGACCGCTCCGCCCTATATCGACACACTAACCTCCTCGATACTCGCCCGGACGGAAGTCCCTTGTTCGTAAACACAAGACTCCATCCGGGCTTCACTGTCACTCCCTCCATCAACAGTACTCGGACTGACTCGTCGAGGAGAAAGACTTCGTTCTCTTCGTCACGGAGAAAGCCGCCGAAATCCGGTATATCCCGTGGTCGAACGAATTCAGATCCGACAAGGACAACCTTTGGCGGTTCGTCCTCGCTCTCGCTAAATGTAGTCTCGAAGTAGTCGGGTAGCCAGATACGAGGCCGACCTTTCGAATCCGTGCCGAAGAATGGGACATGATCCGATATCCGTATGAGACGCCCATCGTCCATAACAGCGTCTTCCCTTAATACTCCAGCGGGCGTTTTGGGAGGCAGCAAAGAGCGAGGCCGGTTGCGGCCTTGCGAGGAGTGCAGAGGAGGTGGCGCGAGCGAAGCTTGAGGACGTCGACGTGGAAGAGTATCTTGCTTTTCGTTCTCCTTGTTGAGGTCAATGTGGTGCAATACCATTGGGAGAAAAGCCTCGTCGTCGTTGTCCATGTCCACCCAGTCCCCATCGTCGATGGCCATGTCTGTCGTGCTCGTACTGGACTCTTCACGAACGTCTCTTCTGGCCGTCCTGCCATGATTAACACCTACCAGACCACAAGACCTGTCATCTCGAGCTGGAGTGAACACTTCATGTCCGCTTGAGGCGTCAGCAGCGATACGGTCCATCATCTGAGCCCAATCGCACTCGTCTTCGGAGTCGACATAATCTTCCTCCTCCCCGTACTCTACCTCCATAACATCAACATCAAGGTCCATCTCAAGTTCTTGGTCGATGGGACGACCGTTAGACCTGCAGCAAGCATATATAGCACTTCACAAGGCCTATGAACCTGGTGTGAAAGTGGGCAAATAGGAGCCTTCCTGCCTTCAGTGGGCATCCCACCTTGATAGGGTCAGATCAAGAAGAATTGCCTGACCTACGGCACTACACACCCTGAGCATAATTAACAGATGAGCCAAAGAACATAGGTGATGGCTGCAGAAGGTGAAGAAGCTTCTTAGTTCCCATGATGTTACTGGACCAAAAGGCGAGCTGGGCGTCCTTTGTGTCGAGGTGCATCGGTGCATCATATGGCCATGGAGATACCGGTAGGCAACGGGTTAGATTGTTCCCTGTCACTTGTGAGTTTAACTTCGGTACGGTTCCGCGGGCCCTTTACGCATGCATACCTGTATCCGGGGCACTGGCTCATCGATATCAAAACGACACCCGATTTCATTGTCTGGAATCTGAAAATAAAAGAGCTCCCGACTCGCTCAGCATAGGGTACGACGTCGAGCAGCCCCTGGAGCCGTGCAGCCGTGCAACGATCAAAACACCAACACCACCCTTCCCTCGAACTGTCTTGCTTTCATCGCTTGCTGATCAGTATCAGTCAAGTTGCTTTGTCGCTACGCATCATAATTCCTCCATTTTCAAATAGCAAATCATTGTCTCCGTGCCTCATGACCGGATCGCAAAAGCGAAAACTGCAGGAGGTGGTCCAACCATCCATGCAGTCCGATGCCAAGCGAGCCCATCACGAGACGCAGAAAGCAGTGACCCTCGAAGCCTTCGACAACTTTACTCGAGCTCTATATCAACTTTGGGAGATAGCACCATCCGCGAACGAAGTTCCCGTAGTCCTCGACGGTACAGGCAATGGAGTCAACACCGAGAAATTCCTTCATGCGGCAGCGATGAAACGAATGAAAGACCGCGGAGAGTTCAACTGGGTCACGAAGTTTCTTCCAGCCTCTCAAGGCGCTGATTTTTACGAGCCCGGTGAGGCATGGCCTCCGAGACTCCCGCCCATCAACAGTCCCGAACTCTGCCGTAGAGTCTTCACCCACCGCTCCTACGCTCCAACCGCTGTCTCCAACCCCGATCCAAACACCCACAACGAGCGTCTCGAATTCCTCGGTGACTCCTACCTCAACCACACCGTCACCCGCCTCCTTTACGAGCGCTTCCCTCACCGTCGTGAAGGCGAGCTATCAACCATGCGCGCCCACCTGGTCGGAAACACCATGGCCATGAAGTTCTCCGAACTCTATCAATTCCCTGGACGGCTCTTGCTTTCCGAAGGTGCCCAACAAGACGGCGTCCGAAACCTCCCAAAAGTCAAAGCAGATATCTTCGAAGCATACATCGGCGGCGTTGTCCTCGACTCCCCCGCCGGCCCGGACACAGTCTTCATCTGGCTCAAACAACTCCTCGAACCCGAACTCCGCATTGTTGACCAAAGCCTTAACCAAACCACCCAACTCGACCGCATGGCAAAACAGACTCTCTACAACTTGCTTGGTGGAAAGCAGGCTAGGGTCGTGTATCACTGGGTTGGTGGAAAGGGAGGTGGAGGTGCTGATGGGGGGTATGTCATGGCTTGTTATGTTGATGGGAAGGAGGCTGCCCGGGCTCATGCGATGAATCAGAAGGATGCGGGGATCAAGGCGGCGATGATTGTTGTTGAGAGGCTCAAGGCTGGGAAGAGTCCGTGGGCAGAGGAAGAGCAGCCGGACCGGTTTGAATGAGTGCGTGTGGATTACAACCTCGATAGAAGCTCGTCATCATAATTGCTTTTTAAATATTGGTGTTGTGGATGGGGTTATTGTGTTTTTCGTTTGGTTCAGGAAGCATAGGCGATGGTTGGCGCGATGAGAAGGTTCGCGTGTTTTCTTTCCGTTTATTGATTATCCTTTTACTCGATAGATAGGCCTAGGCATGGCAATCACCAACCTCACGCACACCCTCTCCTTCTTTTCCCACGACGCACAAATCCGCGTCATGGGCTCCTCGAACCCCCACCACCGGCCTTCACGCGATTGAAAAACTCGCCGTATGGATGGCGTCCATCATGGACCGATCATACGAGATCTTGTAAATTGGTGCTGGGAAGAGTGAGGATGAGAACACGGTGTTTGTGGAAAGGTTGGATAGGTTTCCGGTTAGGAAGAGGAAGGTAGACATGCCTGTGATGGGGGTGTTGACGTCTAATGAGGAGGGGAAGTGTGTGCTATGGAAGGAGTACTTTGATATGACACCGATTGAGGGGTTCTTTGAGCCGCCGAAAAGATCTGATGAGGACATTGATCCGAATGAGCTCGGGAAGAACCTGGAGGAGTCTATGTACCAGTAGGACGCTATAGTGCGACAGACAAAATACTTCCACAATCACTTCACAATTCAAAGTTGGCAATATCCTTGGCACAGAACATTCCGAATCTCCTCACTCCTATCGTACACCATCCACATCATTCCCTTATTTGTCCATCAACATCTTCACAGCCCACCCAACACTCAATACCCTCAAATCCGTATACATCTGTCCCACCCCCACGAACACAACCGGCACTCCAGTCGAATAAACCATACTAACCAACGTCCCAACCATATCCCCAACCGTATCAACCTTCGAAATCACAAACCCGTCCAACTTCCTCCCTGCACCCAGGGCATCCGAGAAGTTCCGTGCTTGGGCAACAGAGTCAGTACCGACCAGTGCCTCGCCAACCATAAAGATCTTGTCCGGGCGAGCGAGTTGTGCGAATTTCTCAAGGGAGGACATGAGGCGGGCGTCGTTGTGCCGGCGACCGGCGGTGTCGATGAGGACTACGTCGAAGTTGTTTTGAGCGGCGTACGAGATGGCATCTTTCGCGATCGCTGCAGCGTCCTTTCCATACCCACGTTCGAAGAGCTCGACTGCACCACCCGATCTCTCCGATAGCTTCGTCAAGTTCTTGACGTGGACGCGAAGTTGTTCGACGGCACCGGAACGGAAGGTATCACACGCAGCCACCAAAATCCTCAGCTTGTTCTGCAACAACCAAAACGCGACCTTTGACAAATTCGTCGACTTTCCGACACCGTTCACACCAATAAACGAGATCGTATACGGCCTCTTCTCCTTATTCACCCTACTAATCTCCCTCAACAAATCCAATCCAACACCCGGCGTTAAGATCCTCTTCAAAGCCTGTTCCGTAGCCCCATTAACAGCAGCCTGAATCGACTCAAACGACTTTGTCGTGGTATTAACCAAACTCTTCTCAACAGAGTCAACGAGATGCGTAGCGACCGGCTTTGCAACATTCTTCTTCAACAGATGCTCCTGCATACTCGCCAACGCCGGCGCAAGATCCTCACTCGTCAATGTCTTTCCACCAATGAAGCCCTGGAGATAGCCGAACGCACCACCCAACGCACCCTTCGCTTTCGTGCTTACACCATCCTCATCATCCTCACCGAGCTCCTTGACCATGAACTCCCCACTCGTAAGCTTACCTCCATAATCTGTCGTATCCGCCAACCCCTCCACATCCACATCACCACCCTCACCCGCTCCATTCGCTCCCTCTCCTCCAGGAGCGGAGAAATCGAGAGTCTGCCCATCGTCCTCCTCGGCTGCACCGTCCATACCCCATCTCCTTCCTTTCTTGCCCTTCTTGGAGGACCCAGTGTCGGATTCGGAGCCGGCAGGGGAGGCACGGCCAGAGGAACGACGGCCCTTGACGGCGGGGCGGAGACCACGGGCTTTCATGGCGTCGGGTGTCATGAACGGAACGGAAGGCGTCCCAGGAGTGGGTGGTGCACCCGCATCCTTTCCAACAGGCGTGGAAACCGTGTCAATAGGTTTTGTGGGTCTCGGCCCAAATGGTGATCCAGTAAGCGGTGGCGGCGATCTCGGTGTTGCGCCAGCGTCCGCTTCCAGCTCTTTCACCCTCCTCGAGAAAAAGTCCTCGAATTTGACGTCGATATTCTGCGGAACCTGTCCCTTTCCCTCCTTAATTTCCTCTCCGTACATGCGGATGAAGACTTTCTTCACGCTCTCCAACAGCTCCTCGGCCCAGGTCAATTGTAACAAACTCTGATACACGACCACGAAGATCAGGCCCAAGTCGTTCGCGACGGACCAGCGCACGGTGTAGTTTCCCTGCGCGTACGATGTGGTAGATGCACGTTCCTCAATAAAAACCGACGAGATAAGGGAGTTGAGCACCGTGTTCGGCGGAGGAGGTCCATTCGAAGTTTTCGGAGCAGACCAGAGGACAACTCCTCCACGAGTCAAGATAGTGAAAGCGTCGAGCATGGCAACAGAAGGCCTCGACGGATCAAAAGAAAAGAATCGAACTTTGCGTTTGCGATGAGAAGTTGCGGTCGCAACTTGGACACGGTACGGTATCCCCGGATGGCTGTGGCGCAGTCAGGTTGAGCAGGGCCAACGCGTCGGTGACGATACCCCAGATATGAGCTCCCAAGTCGTGATGGCATCGTCCAATTCTAATTCTGAAGGCTTCCCATGGCCAAAGATATACTCTTTCCCTCCATTCTTCACCCGACAACCCACAACCCAAACCTGGATCGCCCAGCGCTCAGCTTGGTCCTCCCTCCTTCTCTCCCACGCTCGATACCACCGACGATTTCGGTTATCCTTGGGCAATGATGAGTCAATTTGGGAAAACAAAGAGATAGGGAGGGTTGTGAAAGATCTTGTACGAAAGGAGCTGGCTGAGTGGATGGTCCACGAAAACCAAGCCGCATACGTCCCTAATACCCAGAAGCAACAGTTGCTCCTCTACTGGCGGAAACCGGCTGAATGGGCAGAGTTGATCTACAAATGGATTGATGATACAGCGCAGTTTAACAGCGTGCTGACTCTGTACGAGTTGGTTGAGCATGAGACTGAGTTTAAGGAGTTGGATCCGATGATCTTGGGGCAGGCGCTGGATGTGTTGAAGAGGAGGGGGTTGTGTCAGGTGTTTGGTGGGGAAGATGGCGGTGGAGTCAAGTTCTTTAAGGAGCAGGGTCGATGAGATGGAATTGATGGCATCACGACGAGAAGTCGCAGCTTACGAGACAAGAATCGCGGCTATATGCTACCATGATGTGTGCGACGCTACTTCAGCCTGGTTAAATGCCTACGCACTGTTGGTTGCGCGACGTACTGCTACAAGGATACTAGGGAAATGAAGTAGGGAGTGGGGGCTCAAACGACAACGCTGGAAAGGGAAGGTTATTGCTTCCGAGCTATCCAAATGTGACGGCCAAGGAAGCGGAGGTTTGTGTGAGCACAACAGCATGACGAACACCAATACGAACCCGTTGACGTTTGGACCGGACTATTTTCACGTTTGACGACCAATACCACGAGACATGGTCACCGTACGGCCGATACTCGATTCCCCGACGCACAACACATGGATTGGTACATTGCATTTCTTAGCAGAATAGACATAGAATTCGGTTTGCATGATAAGTTAGTTCATATCAGCGTGAGCATACAACCCAGGCTGATAGTCCAGCTTTGTCCAAGTCGTTTGTGGTTCAAGAGCCAAGAGTTATTTGAGCACAGAAGAATGATGAACACCAGGACGAGACTTCGTGAATGTTAAGACGATATAGAGGTATACGAATGCTTTTCCATTTCTTATAACTATCAACTGTGAAAGCCAACATTGTATCTCATATCCATATCGAAAAAGCTGTGCGAAAACCCACGAAACACCTGTCTGAACCCATAAAATGCCAGAGAACGAAATCAAAAATACCAAAATGTATGTACCCGAACGAAAACCCGGATGTCTATATTCCTACAACCCCGTTGTATTTATCCCATAGCATGGTGGTGGTTGTGCAATGAGATGTCCATTGGCGCCTTACCCTCACCATCGACGGGGATGTCACCACCACCGTTGATACCGTTAAGCCTCTGCTTGACGTTCTCGCTTCTCAAGCTCTCGAGGTGCTCGAAGTAGCCAGCGGCGACGGGGGTAACATACTCTCCAGTGAAGACACCGACCTCGAACTCCTTCAACGCGGGGTTGAACTGGGAACAAGTCTCCTTCAAGTCATCGAGGGTCTGGTAGATAACCATATCCGCACCGATCTCCTCAGCGATTTGCTGCTCATCACGATCAAACGCAACGAGTTCCCGGGTGTCGGCAAGGTCGATACCGTAGATATGAGCATGGCGGATCGGCGGTGCACAGGACGCAAAGTAAACCTTCTTCGCACCCGCATCACGAGCCATCTGGACGATCTCCTTGGAGGTGGTACCACGAACAATAGAATCATCCACGATCAACACATTCTTACCCGCGAACTCCAACGCCATCGCGTTCAATTTTCTCCGGACGTTCTTGCGGCGCATTTGTTGACCGGGCATGATGAACGTACGGCCGACATATCTGTTCTTGATGAAACCCTCGCGGTATTTCAGGCCGAGAGCCCATGAACACTGCAAGGCAGCGACACGGGAGGTGTCTGGTACTGGTACGACGACGTCGATGTGTTCCTGGACGTTCTCTCCGACGAGCTTCTTGACGGTCTCGGCGAGCTTGTCACCCATAGCGAGACGGGAACGATAGACAGAGATACCGTCCAACACGGAATCAGGACGAGCAAAATAGACATACTCGAAGATATCTGGGGCGAAGGTACCGGCGGGGGTAACCTGGCGAACGGTCTTGAGACCATCCTTGGTGATGATGATGGCCTCTCCGGGCTTGACGTCGTAGTACTTCTTGAAGCCGAGGGCGTCGTGCACGACGGACTCAGAGGCGAACATGTAGTCGACTCCGTGCTCCGTCTCACGCTCACCCAAAACGAGGGGTCGGATACCGTTAGGGTCACGGAAACCAATGATACCGAAACCAGCAAGCATAGCAACACAAGCGAATCCACCATTGCACTGATCATAGATACCCTCTTTCAACGCAGTGAAAATGTCCTCCTCATTACAACGAGCCTTTCCAGTCTCCTGCAACTTATTGGCGAAGATGTTCAACATCAACTCAGAGTCCGAGTCAGTGTTGATGTGCCTATGCGCATCCTGATCCAAATACTCCCTCAACTCGATCGAGTTGACGATGTTTCCGTTATGCGCAAAGACGATACCGTAGGGCGAGTTAACATAAAAGGGCTGAGCCTCACTCTGTGCCGAACTGCCCGCAGTCGGGTATCTGAGGTGTGCCAATCCCATGTTTCCGCGCAATCCCTTCAACTGCTCCTCGTGGAAGACGTCACGGACCATCCCGTTGCCCTTGTTCTGGTAGAGGCGGCCTTTGGGGCCACAGGTGACGATACCGGCAGCGTCCTGACCACGGTGTTGGAGCATGTTGAGACCTTCGAAGATCTCCGACACGGCGGCGCCGGCAGGATCAGCGAGGAGAAGACCGAGGATACCGCACATTCTGGAAAAGATGTTAGCATGCTTTCTTGCACGGGTAATTTGCGTGCGAAGGCGATGTGCGCAGTGTCCATGTCAACTTCGCCGAGGAAGATAGAGTCTCAGTCCACTGGGGTTGTTATCCGCAACCCGCCCCGAGAGGTGGGTATAGGTAGTCTATCATCTATTGTGAAAGCATCATCGCGATCCGCTGGCGCAACCTCTTGAGTCGCACACAGACAGGATCCCTGCCTCCATCTTCCTCGGTTCTCCATCGCTCGGATCTTCTTTCTGCGCACATTTCGCCTTTGGCCTGAACAACTGAACATACCTGATCTGAACTTGACGATATCAAAAACCTCAAAAGGCTCTTCAAGGTAATTCCTCGTAAGGTTATAAGGCAAAAGCGGGCGCGTCGTCGACGGGGTTTGATGACCAACCAACGCTTTTTCGCCTGCGACACCAAAAATTTGGAAGGGACCCGTGTTCGCGCCCCACGATTGGGCTGAGAACTAAGAGATGAACGATCTGCCGAGAACGCGGTAGGCAGCCGTTAGGTGACAGGAGGCTGCAAGTTTATCCTAAGTTTATCCGAGGGATTGGAAGTCTCTTTTGGGGGTTTTCGATGGATTCATTTGGAGGGTTTTACGAGGAGTTGTGCTCGGATGGGTTTTCCGCGCATGCCGCAGCTGACATCTCGGGTATCGATAGGAAAATGAGTGGACCCTGATCAGCAGGACGGTCAAGAAGGTATTCATGGCCATGAACATTCTTTTGAACAGCAGTGTATTCCCTATCGCTAGTAGCACATTGGTGATGTGTCGAACAGGTAGACAACCCATGCATCACAACAGGCGGAAAGATGTCGATGTCGAGCTTTGAGAACGGCAACAGGTAAAGTCACAAGTAGGATCTGTCAAGAACAAGTCAGCGCGAGTTCTTGCGAACAATCTGACAGCATGGGACATCAATCATTCCATCTCGAAGAAAGTAGCTTCAGCAAAAAGTTGGTCGCATGATGATGCGGGCCCATATTGGAGGGGCGAACCTCCGAGTCACCGCACCTCTCGATCGCAAATTACATGAGTAAATCATGAGCGGTCTTTCTTCGAGACAGCTTGATGTATGTCTGCTGTCCCGGCCAAGTGATCACTTACCATTCGCACTCCTCTCTCATCACTCCTCTCCCACCGAGCATCACGACACGAAATATATATCAGGGCAGGGCCAGGGTGTTTAAATTTCGTAGGGTTCAGGAACCCTCGCCCCTCTCACGCCCGCACGGCCCACTCCTCCCTCCAGGCACGCGCGAAAACTCTGCTCAGGCACGGGAATTCGCGGGCTAGTGCGTTTGGGAAAAGAAGCGGTCGAAGCAGCGTTACGAGCAAAAGTCCCCGTCCGGCAAACCCCGTCAACACCAACTCCAGTAGCCATGTCGAACTTCAAGCGTCAGGTCGAAGTTGGTACGTTGCCCTTTCCCGTGTGCTGTCAGTTCTAACTCGCTCGAACCAGGCCGTGTCGTCCTCCTTACCTCCGGCCCTTCCGTTGGCTCCCTCGCCACCATCGTCGAGATCATCGACCACCGCCGCGCCTTGATCGACGGTCCCTCCACCGGTGTCGCCCGTCAGGCCGCTTCCTACGCCCAGTTCCAGCTCACCCCCTTCGTCATCGCCAAGCTCCCCCGTGCCGCCGGTTCCGGTGTCGTCGCTAAGAAGTGGGAGGCTGCTGGTGTTTCCGCCAAGTGGGAGGCTTCGTCATGGGCTAAGAAGTTGGAGCAGAGGAAGAGGAGGGCTGCGTTGACTGATTTCGAGAGGTTCCAGGTTATGAGGTTGAAGAAGCAGGTGTGTGCGCGTTTTGGGATGGGTTGGATGGGGATGTATGCGGGGTGAATGCGGTGAGAGAGTTCGATCTCGTGGCTTTTTGCTGCTCGAAATGACTCCTCTCGCTCATTCCACCCATGTACACGCCATCTTGTACCTCCCACCCTCCCCTCATGAACACTCCACTAATACGCGTTTACCAGAGGGCTTTCCTCGTCAAGAAGGAGTTGGCTAAGAAGGCTTAAATTATCGGCGTTATATTCCATATCAATCGGTAATTTTTGGGTCTTTTGTCCGGGCGAACGTTTCGGGGGTTTCGTTTCTTGGCTCAGAACAGGCGGGAAACGGGTTCCCTGGAGTTTGAAGAGGATATCTTATGCGGTATCTTTGGAGGACTGCAGAAAATATATGCTTGTCGTGCATTTATTCAAATTGTTCGTTCAGTGCAGTGTTGCTATGATATTGTATCCGACTTGCTTTGTTCGATATCCCGCAAACTCGGCCAACGACTTCATTTTCGGCGTGGACAACTCTCAGTTTCAGATCTCCATCCTGACAACATCCTCGACATCTCTGACTCCGAGTCTGAACGTGGATAACCACAGGTGCCAGTATGTCCCAACTTCAGGCAACTCCCCGCACACTCCAACTTGAGATCCGTTCGCATTATCCCGAGTGGTGTGTCATCACTCTGCGCGTCCCGTCCAGCCCCAGCCCCAAGTGCAGCCGTAACTCCACGTCCGTGCCCGTGTCTATCATTGCTTCTTCGTGATGGCGTGTTCGCTCATGTTGCACGACTGTTGAAGCTCACCCCTTCATCCCCAACAACAACCCAACCCCAGGCACACTCCCCTTCCCCATCAACCACTCCACCATCTCCCTCCTCCCCCCATCCACTGCCTTCCTCAAAACCCCCTTCCCATTAACATCCGCCCCAAACTCCTCCACCAACATCTTCACCAACTCGAATCTCCCCATTTTGACACACTGTAATAACGCTGCGTCAGAGCTTGCGTGAATGTTGCAGCCGCCGTGGGTGAGGAGGAGACGGACATAGGTGAGTGGTGGGTTTGGGAGGCGGAGGAGGTTTGTGAGAGGGTAGGGGTTGTGTCGGGAGATCGTGAAGTTGCGGTTAATGAGGGCTTCGAGGAGGAGGAGTTTTTCCTGTAGCCGTGGCTCACGAAATAGTCTGTCAGGAATCTCAGGCGGCTTCACCCTCATATACCCCTTCTCAACCCTCGTCACAACGCCCACCGGTGGTATCCCCCCACCATCCGTCGCATCCCGATACGCGTACGGCGTCAACACACTCCGCTCATACATCTCTAACACCTCCACCCCAAAAATATTCCGAAACCAACCTTTCTCCAAGAATCGTCGTGTTACGTGGTGTTTTTGGCCACACATGGAGAGGATGAAGGAGAGTTTGAGGTGGGTGTCGGTTGAGGCGTTGGATTCGAAGGTGTGGAAGAGGGTGCGGGAGGTTAGGGGGAGGTGAGGGTTGGAGGAGGAGGCGAAGATGCGGGATATTAGTTCGTAGGGGAGGTTTTCGAGGTAGGAGGAGCCGGGTTCTGGTTCTCGAGGTGGTGGTTCGTCATTGTTGGAGGATATCTTATGGCGTTTTGGGGGTGAGGGAGGGTCGTGATCTGCGGTTGGAGAGAGGGAGCGCTTGCGTGATGAGGTGATCCGACTTCGACCCTCGAGGAATGGCATCTCTCCTCTTCTACCAAACCTGGTTATTTTCTTGGTGTTGAGAAATCTACGACCAGCACCTGCGTAGAAGGAAATGTCGTCGTTACTAGCCAAAGTTGCCGGAACGGGAAATTCTCGTATATACACTACGATCATACACACCTCCAACCACCCCCCCCCNCC